GGGGGGGAGGGGGGGGGACAGTCCCGATTTCCGATGCAAGCCGGTCTTGCTGGTAGCATCGCAATGTCTCCGGTCTCTCGGCATACCGCTGCTTGAGGTCGCCCGATGCGGAACACGGAAGAAGTCTTGCATTAGACTTACCTGAAGCATAAGGGATTCGACAGCGTGTGGTGGCACTTCGGCAGGGATGGATCATGAGGTGCCAATCATGATACCCAGAATACTCAAGAACAGGTGCCGCATTGATCCAGAAAACACAAAAGATAAAGTTTAATATAGTAGGGTAGGGATAAACATAATTGTGGCGGCACGTGTGAAAAGGACAGGACATCAAGAGATGAAAAATTGCAGTGCAGACCGATGTGACGAGATGATTCGGTTGCCCAGACTCCCCCGGTCCCGATTTGAGCGTGAGATGAACACGAGAAAGTGATACTACAACGGCCCGATATGTCAGAACTCGGGATACGATCCTGATGACGTACAAAGCTCTCGGGTCAATTTTCGGCCCACCTTTGAAAATCAAATGAAGTCAAGCAATACTGTGTAGTCATTATTTTGGATATCATATCTCTTTGATCGATCAGAGGTAACCAAAAGCAAAGAGAAATATATACACACACAATGACAATACTCCTGAGGGTGTCTACATCTTAGAGAATACCCCACCCACATGACTGGATGTTCCCCCAAAGGCAAAGCAGTAGCTCACCAAGGAGGTGCAGGGACCATGGCCATTGGTCTCTGAAGGGCGGCAAATACAACAGGACAGGACATAAAAATGAAGACCAGCAACCAACCTTTATCCCGATTTGCCATCTGATTTGCCCAATCAACAATATTGACATTTTCCGAGAACATCATCCGAGGCAACAATGCTCTGTTTTCTCGCATCCATCAAGATATCATCGGATCAGCCTTCCTCTTCGGAAAGGACGCCATGCAGGATGCAGCGTATGTGCGTGCACATGATTAGCGTGCAAAGGGCTGTCTTGTCCATCAGTATTGGATTATATCTTCTCTCTCGCTTTTGTGGAAAACCCGCTCTTACACTACTATGCTGGAGCGGTGGGAGAGAAGTGATACATGTTGCAGTCGGACGACGTTGAGGTAGGTTACCAATCAACCAGGATGCTCCAACAAATCAGATGCACCTGGCCGGTTACACAAGATCAATGTTCTGTATCATAAACGACCACATTAGAATCATGATCATGATCCTATGGACCTGACGAAAGATACACCGCAAGCAAAAGCAAAATATTGGATGTCTCTTGATATCGAAGATGAGCTACGGTGCAGGCCGCGAGCGGTTACATTGAGTTGGTGGCAAAGATCAATTACCTAGGTAGGTACCCATTTAGTTGTTCATAGAGTGTGGTGGTATGCGTGGGTTTGGTGGGTACAATCAATTTAAGTTTGCTGTGCATGTCCCAGGTGACGGCGGGTACCTGATTCCAAATGTTATCACATATGCCGGCAATAATGACTGGGAAAAGAGGCTGACTGTAGGACATGCTGACATCTCATCAAGCGACCCAGCAAACCAACACAGGCGCGCGCCATTTGGGCAAGATCTAGCTGAGCCCTCATATTCTAATTTGTCGGTCGGTCTGTCTGTCTGTCGTAGGGTCATTTGACATATTCGTCAGCACTTCCCACCGTCCGTTCCGTCTCAGCTTCGGCTTCAGCTTCGGCTCCTTCAACACGGACAGACAGGATTCTGACATTCGGGATGTGGGCCGATGTTGAAATTATACATGAATACATACGCACCTTCTTGGCAGGGCTAAAGCCAAAAGATGCTGGATCATGCTAAGAGCGGTCAAGAGACTCAAAAAATAAAAGAATCAAGGTCTAGATTGGCAGGCGTATTCACAACGATGCTCACAATCGCATCTTTTCTGTCGATGCATGCCACGCATGCTGAGCAAGACCCAGCCTATCGTCGGCCACCATATTCATGATATGCAGCCGTAGAGGGGTAGATGTGCAGAGGGACGGACACCGGTAAGGGACCAATGGGCATCTTCAGCACGAGTCGTACTCAGTATTTGTAACGCAGAATCAGGAGAGAATATGTATCGATGTACATGCTCATGTACAAGTAAGTACATGTGAGGACGAACCGGACGATATACGCCGTAGGTATCAGTTGGAGATACTTTATATACCTGATAGTTCAGAACGCACCCTCCCCTTCTTGCCTCGGGAACTAGCAGTTTTAGCCCAGCCGAAGACCACTTCTTCCATCCCACCACTTCTTCCATCCCACCACTTCTTCCATCCCACCACTCTTCACACGCAACACAAAAATCGGCATCCACCATCGGGCTATCTGTCAATGTCCTTAGTGCGCCATATCGGTTCGGTGTCAGACTCGTACCCACCTTGCAACTAAATCTTCCCATTTCCGTCCTCGTTGAATCCTTCCATGCCTCCAGTCTTGCCTGGTTCAGTACTAGCTTTCTTGTGCTAGTCGCCGAGGCGAGTTGCATATCATCCGTAGTCTGCCTCTTTCCTTTTATATTGAGCCTGGCTTCCTCTTTTCCTTCTCCTCTTCCTTCTGTTGCAAGCACACGGGCAGAAAGGCATATAAGACAAAAGGACTTACAGCCATTGCCAAGTTCCTACACTTCCCCCAACTCATATACCTTCATTCACATCTCACATACACATATCCATTAACCTCAGACCTACTGCTGCTTCTGCTTCTGCTCCTGCTTCCGACCTTCAATCTGCTTTTAGCATCAACTCTCAACAATCTCATTAAAGCATCATGTCTCCATCTGCTATCTCCGAGCTTACGCAGAAGTGTCAGGACATTGCCATCACTCCTGCCAAAACCCTCCATCTCAAGGGCCACGGCGATGGGGAAGCCACTTCCAATGGACTCGAGAAATCGGAATTTCTTCTAGGCCGTCACCTTCACAAAGCCTTTCCCATGGTAACTGGCGGCAAGGGCAACTATTTATACCTCGCCGATGGACGCACTGTCTTTGATGCTTCATCTGGTGCCGCTGTCTCGTGTCTTGGGTATGGCAACGAGCGAGTGATCGCAGCCATCACAGATCAGATCAACACTGGTGTATCATATCTCTGCTCTAGCTTTTGGGGGAATTCCGTGGTGGAAGAGCTGTGCAAAGAACTTATCAACGGAACTGGGGGGCAAATGAGCCGGGTGTACTTGACAGGCTCGGGTATGTCTCCACGGAAGGACATTTCCCAGACACTCCGCTAATCTTTCCAGGGTCCGAAGCAATGGAAGCCGCTGTAAAGCTTGCTCGGCAATACTTCTACGAGAGTGACAAGCAAACCCCGCGAGTGAACTTCATCGCCCGCGAAACCTCTTACCACGGCAACACCATTGGTGCCCTGGGAGTTTCTGGGCATGTTGCTCGTAGAGCACCATATGAACCCTTCCTTATGGACAATATTCATCGCGTGTCAGCTTGCAACGCGTATCGACAGCGCAAGAACGGCGAGTCCGATGAATCCTTCGTTGCTCGGAAAGCTGCAGAGCTGGAGGCCAAGTTCCAAGAGCTAGGTCCAGAGACAGTTATTGGTTTCGTCTGTGAACCTGTAGTTGGTGCTGCTTTAGGTTGTGTTCCGTCTGTCCCAGGATATCTGAAAGCCATGAGAGAAGTCTGCCATAAGCATGGTGCGCTCTTCATTCTCGACGAAGTGATGTGCGGTATGGGACGGTGCGGCACTTTGCACGCCTGGCAACACGAAGAGGTGGTTCCGGACCTGCAAACACTTGGGAAAGGTCTTGGAGGTGGCTATCAACCAATCGCTGCTGTCTTAATTTCGCCGAAGGTTGTCGATGCATTCATGAATGGAAGTGGTCAATTTGTTCATGGACAGACATATCAAGCAATGCCTGTCCAAGCAGCCGCAGCGCTTGAGGTCCAGAGAATCCAGCGGGAAGAGAACCTGATGCAGAATGCCAAAACCCAAGGAGAATATTTAGAGAAGTGCCTCAAATCACTTTTGGGGGATCATCCGAACGTAGGTGATATTCGTGGTAGAGGGCTCTTTTGGGGACTGGAGTTTGTGAAGGATAAGGAGACCAAGGAGCCTTTTGATCCGAAGCTCGGTGTTGCTGAGAAGGTGCATGATACAGCTATCTCCGCTCCGTTCAACATGACAATGTACCCAGGTACTGGCACGGTGGATGGGTTTGCCGGGGACCATATTATCCTCGCTCCAACATACATCGTCACCAAGGAGGACATCGAGCGCATTGCGAAAGTAACTCTGGAAGTCGTCAGCAAAGTCTTCGAGTCACCCGGAGTTGACTCTTGATTACATTTCGCGAGGCGTAGCTTCGGACCAGCTCGTTCTTCACACGACTGCTTTGGAAACTCCGGTATTATTATTTGCGCCGCTTTAGCTCAATAAATATACCTAGGTAGTCTTTGCTTTGCTTTACTTCTCGCTCGTTAATATTCTTGACTTCTTTTCCCTTTTTGAATGTCGAATGGGACTTCCTGTCTGATACTGCCAAGATCTAAACACCCCGTGGTTATATTGATAGAAAAGCCTCATCCTACAAATTGGAAATCCGATAGATTAGAAGTTGAAAATACAAGAACTTGTAGAAATATTCTTGTAGAAATAACATTATCTGATACCAGCCAGCATTTATATTTACGTTATGTCCAACCGACATTCAGCCTGATCTCTCAACTGAAACCAGTTCCATCCATCTTCGTACATTAAATTAAGACACCTACTGGGTGATCACCATGGAAAAGGCAAAGGGGTCAAACTGCTTTACAAGAAACATGGAGCTCAAAGTGAAGACTACGACACTCTTTCCATATAAGGCTGTGTGCGCATCTTGCCTCAATGACACATCTTTGGCTCAGATCGCACTTCGTCTGTATAAGTAACAAAATACAAATCCGCAAAGTCTCATAGTAATCTGAAACATTAGTTATGGAGTAGATTTATCTAAAATAATTAACGAATTGATGGGCACAAGCTAGAATAGCATCAATTCAAAGTGTCACACGCCTGGGCAGCCAAGGAGGTTTTGATATGCCAGCCGCACGATGCCACGTCTGAAATGCGTGATTTGAAAATATATTGCGGATCAGCCACTTTTTACAAATTTCAATAATGAAAAATGAATGTTCCTGACAGTCGTAGATAGAAAGTAATCGACAAAAGACAGAAGATAAGTAGCACTTTCTCATTCCTAAATTCTTGATTCTAGGTAGGCAACCTGGAAATGCCATAAAACGCCGTTACTAATTACAATGTACGCAAAAGCAAATCCATTTTCTTTTGACTGAATCAGGCCTTGTTGCGAAGGTGTGGTGGGACGAATTTGCCAGCTGTTCCGCTGGGCTTGAGGCTATTACCAGCCGCAGGAGCCGGAGCAGGGGATTCATCACGTTCGTCGTCTCTTCTTGATCTGCCACGATCCATGGGAGGTGGTACCCGGGATGGTGCAGCAGGCTCACCACCGCTGGTCCCCTTTGCTGCTTCCCTCTCTCGCCATGATGGTTTGCCTCCGGAAAGAGCGAGACGAGGTGGTCCTCTCTCTGCAGGGCGATCGTTTGAATCGGTTCGCTCCATAATAGCAGGAGCAGGGCGACCCATTGGTGAGGCTCGGGCGGCGGGTGATTCGGTTCGGGTCGGTCCTGGCACCTCCTTCCCTTCGATACGCAGGCGCTCCTTTTCTCTCCATCCCAACTTCGCACCAGCAAGAGGTAAAGGTGGACGAACAGCACCAGATCCAGAGCCAGACTCTCCACGGTCGAGGGCCACACCACGGGAAGGTCCGGCAATCTTTGCCTCTTGTCTGCGTGCAGCAGCCTCTGTCGCTCTGCGCTCTTGCAGCTCCGCAATGGCTAACGCCTCCGATCTCTCCTTCTCCCGGGTTGCCTTCAATTCTGCAAACTCTTTTCTCTTCTGCTCATCCCTAGCGGCCTTCTCCTCTGCTTCTCTGGCAGCGCGCTCTTCCTCTTCCCTCAAGATCCTGTCTTGCTCCTCAAGCTCCCGCTTCTCACGAGCCTTGCGCGCTCTGAACTCCTTTCTGCGGGCATCCATCTGGTCCTGTAAGTCCTTCTCTGCCTTGCGGCGGCTTCGCTCGAACTCATCGCGTCTTCTCTCAACAATAGTCTCGCGGAATGACTCATAGTAAGGTACAACTCTCGCTAGCCTCTTGCTGAGTGCAACATTATGTTCGTGCTTCGCTTCGGCATCTTCCAAAGTCTGAGCCTTGGTCTTCTCATAGGCCTCCAAATCACGCTCACGCTGTGCGGCATAATCTGCTGGCAGCTTCTTGGCTTCTTCCTTTCTTTGTGCACGCTCAATGTGATCGATACGCTTGGCAGTAATTCTGAGCTTCTCGTTCATGTCGTTCTTCTCCCGCTCCAACTGAGCAAGCTTCATGGCACGAATCCGGTTGCTGTCGATATTATCCAAGTCGTCCATGTCGATGTCGATAGCTTTAGGACCGATCTTGAGATCAGCAATCTGCTTCTTGAGTTCCTCCTTACGAACACGATCTAGCTCGGCCTTCATGCGCTTCTCCTCGCGGTCCTTCTGCTCCTGAGCGAGTCGCTTGTCTTCGGCTTCCTGGATTTGTGCTGCTCGGATCCGCTTTCGAGTAGCATCCTCTTTCTCCTTACGTGCTTGAATTTCGGATGCCTCTTCCTTCCGCTTGGTTATGACTTCTTTGCGTGCCAAAATATCGTGATGTTCCTGTTCAGCACCTGCTCTAGCTTTTGCATATGCTGCATCCCTAGCTTTGATTCGGGCCTCGTTGTACGAGGGGTCGATGTACTGGCAGGTAACGAAGAGAGACTTGGCTAACCGGGTCAATTGTGTGCGTACAATTTCCGACGGTGTGTTTTGTAGTCGCTGAACAGAAGAAGTCTCACTCTCAGCAGAGCCAGCACTTGTGCCAGCATTTACAGCCTTAGTAGACGAGAAGACATCAGTGTCGAAGCTGAGAACACCTGTAGCGTGATCCATGCGAATAGCAAGATCACCCTTCTTGTTTCCATTCATGATGAACTTCTCAATAGTGTCCCGACTGACTTGGAATGGCTCGGGGAATCTGGCAAGGTTCTCAACAAATGCAAGGTCGACGGTTTCATATACTTGCGACAGTTGTTGAAAGAGCCTAGTCAGGATGACTTGCTGGAGAGGAAGAACATATTTCGCCATCTCCTCATCAGCGCCAATCTTGGTTAAGATTGGAGAGATCTTTTGGCAGATGGAAAGCGGGTGGAAATCGACTTCGAGAATGTTGTAAAGCTCACGGATCTCAGGACGAGCGCGCTTCAACAAACCTTTGCTCATGGCATCTCGGAAAAGCACAGCACGAGTGGGGGCCTGAGCCATACCGAGGAGGTGGGTGAGACGAGAGTTCTTGTTCTTCTTAGCCTCATCAATGTCAACTAGAGCACCACGAGATCTTGAAGTGCTGATGACTGGAATAGCAAGAGCTGACAGCAGGACGAAGGAGGCGGCCTTTGAAAGGTCTGCTTCGGAAGTAGCTGGGTTGTCTGCCTTCTTGCTCTGACCAGATGCAACCATGGAGGCAGACTGGCGGAGGAGGTTGTAATACCTGGACCACGCAGCGGCATGGAATAGATAGTTCTCACCAACCAAAAAGATTCTGGTCAGCTTCTCATAGTAGTTTGCCATCATGACGTTCTTTGGTGGGCGCTTGCTAAGATTGAGCAATGTATGGATATCCTCAACACTCCTGAAAGCCTCTTGCCACAACTCAAGCTCAACTGCAACGTTCAATTGTTGAAAACGGGTCTCGAGATGGCGCTGAAGGGTATCTGGGTCATTGAGGTTGATGGCATGCATCTGAGCAGAGTACTTTGCAGCGGTCTGTACATGGTTTCGGAGAAGTTCGCAAAGTCTGCGGAATTCGGTCTTTCGTGTGTACTTCTGGCAGAACTCGAATGCTTGCATAGCGGTGCTCTGGTACATGATCTCCAACCGGGCATTGTTTCGGAGGATGTCGAGAACGGTACGGTATGTCTCCCAGAGGAACTTGAGCCATGGCGTTACGATTGCGCGATCTGTGCGATCTCGGGACTGCTCGCCGGACACAGTGGAGAGGAGGATGGATTCTGGGGTTTCGCTGGCCTCGAGATCGTCAACGCCGGCAGTGTCTGCAGTGGTTTCGAGAGACGACTGAACTTCGTCGGCCTTTGCTTGTGCGGTCTTGACTTTCTCCTCTGCTAGCTCGATGAATTTCTTGAGAACCAACTGTAAAGAGCGCGTTAGTATGGAACTAGATATTGAATTGCAAATGATGAGACTTACTTCAATCGTGCCAACATTAGTGTTCTGACTGATATTCTTGTATTGATAAAGCGCGTCTTTGGCTAGCTTTCCCTTCTTCTGCTCGACGGACTGTTCAACCAAGAGGACCATAACAGGCTCCAACGAGGTGATGGGAACATTTCTGCTTCTCTTGGAAGTGATATGCTCGTGAAGGAGAACGAGGGCCGCTGGTGACTGGCCAACGCCCATGAGTTCGTGAGCCCTCTTGAGAACATTCTCGGGCTTTGCGTGGGGCGGAGGAGGCATGCTGGGCAGACGCCTCTGCGATGAACTTTTGCTGACGTTCGTTTCTCAGTGCGCTTGGGGGATTTGATGAGAAACCGTGGTCGTGGTAGGGTATGGGAAGGCGCGCGTGTTGTAAGATGATGCCTGCGCTTCAAAAAATCGTGGGACTTTGTGTCTGAAAACTCGCTTATTATTGGAATCTGAATTGTAGATTGCCTTCTTGCCACATGACTTGGAACCAACTCCGTTGGGGATAGCCCAAGGTCTTACGATTTAGGCGTCCGATTCAATACGACTATTTACCCATTGGAATTATTCCCGTCGAGTTATATAGATATCATACCTACCTATGTATATGCTCATTTGCAAAAGTCACATGAACATGAACAGTAGAGCAGTAGGTAAAGTGCACGTTCCTCTATAAAAGGTTCAATCGGGTTTGGCGCGCTCTTAAATTACGCTACTCCTAGTAAGCCATTTGGATCCCACCGCCACTCGCTGCAACGGAACTCTCAAGGTCAAACCCATCATTTCATCTCAACCACCTCTCACTTTCTTCAGCACCACTCAGAATCCAAGTCGCGGGGCTACGAACTCCAATCACCTTCCAAGGGTCAATCCTCAGGTACGCCTCACCTCTCGCGTGCACGGCGACTCGGTAGCTGAGCTGATCTGAAATTGCTGTTCGCAGATAGCACTGATTGATAGGAGTCGTGACCGCAACTCTTCACCATGCCTTCCGGATACTCATCGCGCGATGTCGGCGACCCATCGCAGATCAAGAAGAACAAGCAGTCGATGGCCGACCTCAAGCTGCGCCGTCTCACGGAATTGAACAATCGCCTACGAGAGGATTTGGAACGCGAAAGAATTCCCGTCTCCCAAGCCGCAAAGAGGTATTTGGAGCCGAGCCTCAACGTCCCCAGTTGCCAGTCTACTAACTCGGCCACATAGCATCATCTCCTATACGAACAGCACAAAGGACTTCATGGTACCGTCGGTTTGGGGTTCTGTTGAGAAGAAGGATGATCCGTATGCTCCTCAACCGAGCGGGGGCTGCTGTGTGGTCATGTAGAAAGGCAGACGGAGAGGTGGCTTCACAGACCACGATGGGCGTTCATTGGAGTTAGGGAATCACTGCGAATAATACCTTTCACAGCGTAGCATTTCAGCGGGGTGGTGGTCACTTCTTACGGCTGCCAGGGTTTTGCATGTAACACTTTTGTTTGTAGTAGTTACTTTCACTTCGATGTGTATAGGGTTACGATTAGTCTGAGGAGAGAGGCCGCTTTCCATACAAATGATGAGGTGTTCTACATATATTTCGACAGTTCCCAGAGCTCTTTCTTGACGCGTGCACAGCTCCTTATTATTTTGCGAGTCAGACCTGTGATTCGATAGTGCCTTTGGGCAAATTGGATTTCCAGCCGAGCGGGAACGGGTGACAAACCAGACCAGGCCTCCCTGAGCTATAGCGAACGTACCTAGATATCAACAACCTAACGACCCAAACTACTTTGAGCTCATCTTGATTTACAAATGATTGCATAACCTCACAAACCCAGAGCTACTTCATTGCATCAGACGTCAACAACCATCCCAAAACCTAGGGACGATCAAGATCTACGCAACAATGGAGCAACCGGCACTTCCCCGAGTCACTATTCAATTCTGTACTCAATGTAAATGGATGCTTCGAGCTGCATATGTAAGCTCCCTTTCTCTTTGTTTACCGTCCTATCATCATCAATATGTCGCCACGTATTGTTCCACCTGGCGCAAGCTCCCGCACGCGCATTATTGTCTTTCTCCGCAGTCTCAATCTCAGTCTCAGACTTCACGTGATAGCATCCCCCTTTCTTACTTATGCTCTTTCTATTTGCTTTCAAACTTCGTTTCTTAGCTTAGTAGTCTCAACCTAATGAGAAGGGCAAAGTGTTAATCTAGTGTTGTAGTTTGCTCAAGAGCTGCTTTCTACCTTCTCTACCTCTCTTGGCGAAGTGGCGCTGCAGCCATCAACTGGAGGCACATTCGTGGTACATCTCTATCATGCGGATCCAAGTAGCAGCGGGGATGAGCCTGTTACCATGCAGAAGCATCTTCTATGGGACAGGAAGGCGGAAGGTGGATTTCCTGGTATGTTGATTTTCTGGAAGAAACTCGTCTTCTTCTTCTCTCGTCTCTCTACCTATAACTATCACCATTCCCAAGAAACCCTTGACTAGATTCAAGGTGCACCTTACTTGCACAATATCTTTCTGGTGCCTTTATCCCGAAGCGTAGACAAACACAAGTGTCATTTCGCAGCTCCCAATTTCGCGAGCCAACTAACAATCTTCCCTCTTGCACAGAAACGAAAGAACTCAAACGCCGAGTAAGAGATATCATAGAGCCATCTCGAGACCTCGGACACGTAGATGGCCACAAGAGTAAGTCTGTGATTTCACCTACTCCATCCCATTCCTGCAACATGAACTCCCATCCTCTCCTATCCTCTTTGTATTCCTCATATTCCCCTTACTGGTACAACACACCACGGCCTATCCCACCCCACTCCTCTCATCCATTCCATCTAATACTGCACCCGCTATCATCCCCTCCTTCCCTCTTCTCTGCCCATCTCCAAAATCCAAACCCTAATCTCCCAGAATCAGAACGCGAATCCAATCCCGAAGCCCCGACCCAAATCCCGGCACTCCCAGCAGCAATCAACAAGCTACAAGCCGAGGAAACCGGAGAGAGGAAGTTCACGCCCATGGATGTAGATGTAGATGTAGATGCAGGTGTAGCATCGCAGAGGGATTTAGAGAAGGTCTTTGGTGAGGAAGAAGAGGCTGTTGGGGGGAATGGGAAGATTAGGATTGGCGGGGATGGGGGAGAAGGGTTTTGTAGGCCGGGGGATGAGGATTGTGGGTAGGGCCCTTGGGCCGAGGGTATAGGTATGAGAAAGATGAGTGTTGAGCATGGGATTATATTGCCGTAGATCTGTCGGGAGCTTCAGGGGGAATCTCCGTATTAGGAAACTGGAGAGGGGATCTTAAGGGGTGCAACTGGTAAGGAGGCGTCACAGGCAGAAGATGTAAAGAGCAATGAGTAACGACAATGAAAGACACGGCAACAAATCTAAGACGTGACTTTGAAAAACATTTGTAGTTTAGGAAATTAGTTTCATTCGCCGCAACAGTTTCACATGTCAGCAATTGTGGCAGAAGAACGGCTACGGAAAAAAGAGGGCCACCATCACATCCACCATCCATCCATAGACCAAAGCACGCTTTGCACCACCTTTATGCCCAGTCACCCGTGGAACTCCACCATCCACGAAAAAAACCATGCAGGTCAGGTCAGAGCTAAGCCAGTCAAGAGAGCTACACAGACAAAGTAATCATTTCCATCTCGCCAAAGAAGTAGACCCGTCTCGCAAACAATCGTAATCTCTTATACACACAAAAAGCGACCCTCTCTATAAGCTCAGAACAAATCAAGAACCCGTTTTCATTTCTGTAGCCGCGTCTTTCTGTCTTGTGGTATCCGTTCGCTTCGCAAGTAAGAAGTTCGTGTGCTGCTCGTGTCTCCCAATTATGGTCGTCGCTCGTAATCAAAGGCGAAAAGAAAGTTGTGTACAATTGGTACGTCGTATAGAGAGGTGCTGCCCCTGGCGCAACGCACACGCGCAAATAGGTATTTTATGTTTTTGATATGGGGGAGGAGTCGAGTTGTGGTTCGAGTTCGGGAGATAGAAGGGAGGCTTGTGTCGTAAACAAGAAGATCGAGAAGCGCGCGAGCGAGACTTTGGCGTAGGAATCGAGGGAAAATCGCGAAGTTATGCTTATCTGCGTCCGAACCTGCTATACACAAGGAAGTTCGTAATTGTTCTCATATTTATACTACTTTTTCTGCTTCCTCGGAGGAGTGACGGGCCTGCTGGCACCTAGACCACCGTAAACGTACTTTTGTTTTTTCTCCGCTGGTTTCAGAATCTGCGAATTGGAGGTCAATGGCTGTCATATCCTTTGAATGGTTGAGCAACTAACCTGGAACGAACATAACAAGCTCTCATCTACGCTCATCATTGCGCCTGCATTGTCAAACTCTCCGCAGTAGTTGGGTGCGCTAAAGAGGGTGACTAATTGTCTCTTGGAAAAGAATTCATATCCGTCTTCGACTACTTGATGGGCTCGGCAGATCAAATCCATATCATGCTTCTGTAAGAAACGGGAGACGACATCGGGGCCGAAGGTAAAAGATACACCTCGGTCGTTTTCACTCCAACCGGTGATGTCTTTATCTGGATCAGACCAGAGGAGATCGCACAACAGACCGCAGTCAGGAATCTAGTTTTATCAGTAAGAGCTCTAGCCGTCTCTCGAGGCGCTGAAACTTGGCAAGTAAAGGAATCCTGGGAACTTACATCGGTGGGTCGCATGACACGGCGGATCTGCTCCATGGAATTCAGATCTGGGCTAAGACCGCCGTGCATTGTGAATATCTTCTCGTCAATGATTGCCGCAATGGGAAGGCAGTTGAAGCAGTCCGTGAAGGTCTTCCAAAGCTTGATATTGTACCGTCTCTTACACTCATCGTAGAAGCCGTAGATGCGGTTGATGGACGCGCATTCATGGTTACCGCGCAAGATGAAAAAGTTTTCGGGGTATTTGATCTTGTAGGCAAGGAGCAGGCAGATTGTCTCAAGAGATTGCTTGCCTCTATCCACGTAGTCTCCTAGGAAGAGGTAGTTTGCCTCCGGAGGGAAGCCTCCATACTCGAACAAACGGAGAAGATCATAATATTGGCCATGGATATCACCACAGATCTAAAGTCACGCAGCAGTCAGCAAACCATCCAATATCGCGCTCTTAGGGGTTAGTAAGACACATTTGCATACCTTGATTGGTGCCTCCAGTTCGAGGAGGATTGGTTGGGAGATGAAGATTTCTCGCGCCTTTGTGCATAGATAACGGATTTCTGCTTCTAAGAGCTGCACTTGCTTGCCGGGTCGGCTGCCTCGTACCTCCAACAGTCTGTCGATGATGGAATCGAGATCTACATCGTTTTGGTCCGCCATGTCTTCTGGCCTCTGAGTGGGGGAGGGAACGCGGCGAGGTTATGTTTTCCGCAGTGAGGGATTTGTCGCTGTTCGATAGCTGTCTAGATCAATTTCGCTGTGAGGAGGACTATGATTCACCCTTTGGTCTAGAGACGCGTGCAAATTTAGCAAGATGTGGCAAGTACAGGAGACCCGTACCGCGTGGATTCACCCAGCAGGCTTGGCAGGCAATGGCACACGTACAATGAAGTGGAATCGGCCTCAGTGAGCTCTCTGCAGAAAGCTGCGTCTTCGAAATGTTTGCAGGACTTGTCCTGTCGGCCTGTTCGCAATGGAGTTGCAAGGGAAACCTCGGAAGGCTTAGGGGCACCTCTGTTATCAGCAAAGAAGGTGCCGAGTGTGTATCGTCAGGCTGTTGTTATTCACAGCTCTACGCCGCTATCACTGATTCGCGCAGTATGAGTAGCCCAGGGCAGTTTGTGGTGGTGATGCTTTGGAGACTCGCAGGTGTTTGTCAGTGTCGATGTGTGCAAATCCAAATCGCGTTTTTGCTTTAAAATAAACGAGGTACCCGGCTGGAACCTTTTTTGCTGCGGTAGTAGAATTTACAGTGTTCTGTGAATGTTGCGATGCTGCGGATTCAGAGAGATGAATTCAGCAGTGTGGTTTGTTTGTTCTTTTGCTGAGATGTCGTTGGGTTGACGTTGCAAAAAGTTCAAGGGGGTTTTTGGGTTTTAGATTTCTTGTGTACGGGCCAGACAGACTGGGGGGGGGGGGTCGGAGGCTTAACGCTCGACGCTTGTTGGAATGCGATCCTATTTAAGGTGGAAAGAACAAGAATGTGCCGGAGCAGCAGGGTCAGTGGTAATAATCAACACAAAAGGGGAGTTTAGATCCAAGCCGTTGCTGGTTGAATTCTCGTTGTCGTCGTCGTTGTCAAGTTTGCAGATGGAAGTTGGGAGTTGATGGAAAGAGGTCGATCCACAGACTTGTGTTGCCTCGAATCTCGACTCGAACTCCCCTCCCCTCCCCTCCCCTCCCCTCCCCTTGCCCAGCCCAGCACCAGCTTACACATTACATACACACCACCACGCCAATTCTGATCCAGCAGCGACGCTTTGCAGCGCTTATTTGCCTGCCAAGCATGTTTTTCCTCTCGCTGCCTCAACAATATTACCCTGCCATTTACTATTGGCTCCGCCTCACGACAATCCTCTGCTTGGTGCAAATACGTCTCTATGAGTGACGCTTCTGACCCACAGTACTCCGCAGAAACGCGAATCTTTGCTCGTATTTTCCAACGCCATCGAGCCTGTACGGCTGGTTCTAAGGAACCTAAACTGCTTCCTGTTGAGAGTGGAAGTGCGGCGAACTGGCCGCAAGAAGGTTCTGCGCGTTTGCGACTTCCACCACGCGTTTACGGCGAATTCGGCAATAAAATTTCTGAACTCGAAGAATAGGTCTAGGTCTTTTGAATTGAGTCTATTTTTAAACCCCGACTTTGATATTGTGTTACGCTACTTCATCTTTTCAATTGTTCGAGACATGGCATGCAATAATTAGATGGGATTATCATGCTACAATTAGTTTCCCATCCTATCCTACGTAGAGGGGTCGCGGGGTAAGTGGGGAACTCAACATCCTTTTCATTTGACATGATATCAGTCAGACTCTAGGATTATTAATAGAATCCTATACATTCTACCTGTAATATAGTTCTAATATCTACACATGATCGTCAGAGACAGATGAAATTCAAACGGGATAAACGAATCTTAATATCCCCCGGTGAGAACTTTCAAGGTGACTTTTCATATGCAATTATAGCATTATCGCAAATTCCATAGCCCTGCCCATTAACATCTATCAACTACCTTATCTTTACTATCTCCAATAAAAAACACAAAGCCAACTCCTGTGATTGCTTTGAAACCTCCCTTTCCCCACTTGAAAACACCTACCTTGCAAACACCTACAGTTTCCCACTCATCTTACACCCTTACAAAACGGGCTGTATGTTCCATCATTAAACGTATCAAGGGCAATCGGTAGTCATGCTCTGTATATTCTCCAGTGAGAGAAATAAACGGAAAGGGAGATATAAGTAACGTTTGTACACGGGATGAAGGGGGCGGTTGAATCTTCGAGGGAGGCGATAAGGGCATCTTCATCGTCAGACTGTGTATTATCGAGCAAGGATGCGAGAGGTTGTGTTAAAGATAGAGAATCGGGCCAGCCTGACAAGGACGGGGAAGATAATAGGAGTTGTTAAGAAGGTTTTAACTATTATAGCATTAGGGGGAGGTAATACCCCAGATAAGTATCTCCACTCAGACCAAGGTTGGGCTCAATCTGGGAATTGGGAACTCGGAAACCTTATTAAGTCACAGAAGATCTAGCTTCGCAGAGATACAAGCACAGCAGGGTAGTCTTCAAGTTCGAACGCTCAAAACCATTTCATTATGCCACCCATTCGTCCGTCACCTCAAATCGCTCATGCAGTACAAATGCTAATTCGCTAGGAACGCCGCCTAGCCAACCCTTTAAAGACCCTTATTTTACAAACAGACTTTCAAACAATCTCTCGACCCTGGGCTCTGATGCTCTGATGCTCAAGAGTCACAGATCATCCATTGATCTCTACAGTTAGCATGATCTAGCATGCTATGAGAATAGTAAAAGTAAATCGCGAGAAGAAGCATGATATGACCCCCAAACCCGCACGCTATGCTTGATGACCGATGCAGAGGAATAAAACAGAAAAATGGCTATTAGAAAGATGCCGCAAATGCAAAAATCTCCAGCAAAGGTAGAGTGGCGAGCACTGCTACTTCTAGAGACGAGGGTATCAAAACAGCCTCCCTATGCAACGACTAATATTGTCGTTACCGAGAACATGCACTGCATAAGTGATGTCTCCATTCGAAAATTATACGCGTCGAGAAGATCATCCCAACGTTCGACCGCTATGTATTGTTTGTTGACTGCTGGCTCGAGGTGTTGGACTTGGCCTCATCGGGCTGAAGTCCGCCGCTGTAAAGCCCTGTCCTTGGGCGTTCTTTTGTGCTTCCCATCCTTCTTCGCTCAGCACGCTGAGCCATCCATTGCCGACTTCGTTCCGCAACGCTTCTAACTTCTGTCTATATAGCTCGCCACTAATCTTCCAGTCTTGGGATTCCTTGCCAGGTTGCGTTTTGATAAGTGGCGATTCATAGGGAACTGTTTGTATAGGAGGCAATCGAGGCACAGCAGTAGAGTCTATTCGTGGGACCTGGGCCTGAACTTGGGGTTGTTGATGCTCGGATTGAACATACAAAGGCACTGTCCGAGGTGAAGGGTCTGGACTCATATTATACGCAGCCCCTAATCCTACAGCATTCTCAGCAGCTTCCTCTACTGAAAGGTGGACAGGGCGGGCTTGTTTACTGGGAGAGGTCTCGGATGTGGAAAGATCCACGATCCTCCGCTTCGGTGTTCGTCTACGTCTACCAGAAGAATTTGAATACACTTCACTCGTAGCAGGGGCCGGTTGGGGTCGTTCCTTGCGAAGTACTGCAGGCGCAAGAGCAGGTGGGTAGTTAATGATGGGCTTGTTTACATCCACTGACGATATGCCATAATCTGGGATTGGCTTAACGACAGGAACGTTCGCCTTCTCAGCGACTCTGTCTACCAATTGCCGCCTTTCACTATAACCAGGTCCATATGTATCGATGAGGATGTCTTCGGTATAACCAGGAGTTTTCCTGAAAAGGTTGAAGATCGTGATTCGATAATTGCTGTGCGTTTTGACAAAGGGATTGCCCGAGACCCAGATTTCTCGAAGATCAGGAATGCCCGTCAATCTCGCAAGCTCTGTAGGATCCGTCATCTTATTATCTCGCAAATCGAGTCTCTCTAGGGGATATAGCCTTTCAATACCGGCGATAGATATAAGTCGATTCGATCTCAAATTGAGGGCCGAAATAGCAGGAAGGGGGTTTCTGGTCAAGGAGTGGAGCGAGTTGATCATACAGTTCGAAAGGTTGAGAGCTCGTAGTGCCGTTAAGGATGCCAGACAATCAGGTATCTGCTGGAACAGATTCGAAGATAGATCTAAGGAATGAAGAGTATTGGCCAACGGGGCTAACCCTTCCGCGGATATCGAGGTAAGACCATTATCAGCAAGACTGAGATGTTTGAGAAATCTCCATTTTGAGGACGGCAAGATGCCCATTGAAAGCAAATTCGACGAGCTGCTGCGTGGATTGTGCCAGCCATCCGATGCGCTCGAATGTGAACTTCCTGACCCAGACCTTTTAACCTTATGCGACCCCCTCAAATGGCCATATGCAGAGCCAGTTCGTGAGCTCGTCGGTCGAACCGGAGAATTACTCCTCGGTCTCGACTTAGTAGGAGACTTTGCACCATCCGAACCTGCTCGCTTCAAAGAAGCGGTGCGCGAGTCATCCTCTTCGCCGATATGGACACGCTGGTCTGGCGAACCAGGAGCCGAGTTGGACTTTACCAGTTCTGCATGCGGTATGGTTGGGCTTCTCTTCGGGCTCGAGGATGTAGCCCAGGTGGTCGTTGGAGACATCTGGGCTTTTGAGGAACGACGCCGTCGCTTGTCTGTATCATCAAGCACAATATTTATGAGGATGTCAGCGGGATCATCGATTCCTGCACGCTTGACTGTCAGAGATCTGAGCTGTTCTGCAAGTCGATCCCAGCCAAAGAATTGTCGGAAGTCGATATCACTGATCTCCAAAGCACTAAGATTCTTGAACGCGTAGAGAGGAACCGCAGAGTCGAATGGGAACTCTTCGTAGCCTTCTATAAGTCTCGCTCGTCGATCTGGTGTTAGTCTAAGGCAGGGTATTTTCGTAAAGGCCGAGTACAGATACTTCAGGTCCGCTTCGATGGCAGCTTTCTGCTTCTCTGTCTTTGCGGCCGATGGTCCGGATCCAAGGCCGAAATTTGACCAAAGACTAGACATACCCGACATGACACTTCTCACACTAGACACAGAATGAATGGATCCATTATCCGATCCGCGCCCCTTAGGTCGCTGAGATTGGCCCAAAAAGGAGACATAGTTTGCTGCTGTAGTATCCGCGTGTAGATTCTCTAAACGAACATTCATAGGTCCAACAGCAATACTAAGATCTTCAAATCGGGAGAGGAGGTAGAAGAGGTGATGAGGGGTTAAGGCAAGTTTTGCAGGCTTGATATTGTGAGACGCGAAGGTCAAGTATGGGAGGGAAAGTGCCGCTGCGAGAGTGCTCGAGGTTGAGGAGGAAGAAGCAGCCGCTGGTTGATTCGAAGAGGTAGGTGATTCTGGCGTTCCAGAACTTCCAACTGACGACACATTTGAGGAAGAGCCATTTTTAGGAGCTTGTTGACGCCGCAGTTGAAGGGCATTCGCGAGAGCTTTCTCGTGTGTGCGCACAAAATGGGAGAGGTTCTGAAAATTTCTGCATTAGCATAATTCAGAAAGGAAAATCTGCCGATTTACCTTTATGAAGAACTGCCCATCCTCAGTGTCCATCATCGGGAATACATGTGGTCAACGTGTATAAATAATTGAGTCTATCGCTTTCTGCGACACGAGTATTCTTAACAAGTGGCTAAGCGTTCCCTTGTATCTCGATGGTAGGATCGTCGTATGATCGTTGTACGACTGCCGGTGGGAAAAGACGCGGCTCTGAGTAACACAACATCGTTAGCGATAGCGTTTCAAAATGAGTAATATGAACTCCATGTGGGATCTCGATCAGGGTCTTTGATGTGAACATGGCCAGAATTATCAAGTAGTCGTGGGACACTAAGGCCTCGAATCGTGGATGTGCTCTCGAATGACCACTCAATATCAACGGCCCTCAACGACGGCTGCATGCATCTGATATCGCAGGCATCTTCAAATGCAACGAGACGTTGTGAAAAGGAGGGGGCTGCACGTACGTACCTTTCTTTCGTTCTTTCTGGACACCAAGAGCAATGGGGCTCTGAGCACTCGACACTGACGCCGAACAAGAGACAACTCTCCACGAGCGCGACGGAAGAGACAGTACAAGACGCGATAACTTCAAGAAGTGAAGAATTCTGGCGCCGGCCCTAGTGGAGAGGAGATGGGTGGCTCCACGGCGATATGCTCTCTTTCGTCAAGATTTCACGCGCTGGCTGCAGACTCCCCCACTCTAACGCCGTTGTATGCAGTCGAGGCCAAGGGTCTTGCCCGTGCAGATTCAGCACGCACACAACGCAGGGAAGGGAAGGGTATACGGTCGGTTTGAGCTGATATCAAGGAGAAAGAAGCAACGAATGCGTTGATGCGGAGCGGAGAGTAGGAGAAGGGTAGGGATAGGCGTAGGTGTAGGCAATGAATCCAAGGAGGTTGTTTAGGGCTCGAGGCTGGAGTTTACCTACCTACATACAGCAGGTGGTCTATCCGTGAATCAAGTGGAAATCACTAGCGGGCGAGCACGGAGAGGTTCGGTGGATTACGAGTATTGCTAGCAGTATGGGGTTTTGTTTTCTCTCTGATAGGCCACTGCATCAGAATCAATGGGAAAGAGATAGGGTACTGTAGGCTCAGATTATCAGATAGCGCGCGAGGCTGGCCTTGGGTACTTAAAGCACGGCACGACAACCCATGAAGCTTGAACATCTTTAAAAGGAGCCGATCTTGCACGTAAAATGCGGCAAAACTGTAGCCGAGTAGGTACCCCTCATGTATTGTTATCTGCGCTACGAGTACTGCGAAGCTTGAGTACGGAGTATTGTCTGGATCCTTCAGATCTGGATATTCCTTCTATATACGTAGGCAGTATGGGATTGTCGGAAGTACACAAGGTATAGGTAGGTATAATAGATCTTGATCTTGATCCTCTGTCTATTACTGTCATCCGTGAATATATAATACTGTACCGTACTCGTATAGTCAGTCATATATATCCGTATAAACTTTCACTAAGATTGAGAGAGAAATTGATTGCTTGCAACCTGCAGTCCCCTGCTAAGCCTGTGAACCCCACCATCCACCAGGGTCCTCACGGCGTCTGTCTGCAGGGCCGCTACTTTATCGGAGGGGTCATAATCATGATCATAGGCCTGGTGGCCCCCCAGTCGTAATAATGAGGCCAGCTGCGATGTCCCAAGGAAAGGCTGTCAATCTTAGTCTCCGCCAATCAATGCCCTGTCTGTCGTCGCCCACTGCCGCCGTCGACAATAAAAACGGGGGGAGGCTGCGGCAGACCGACTTTCACAACACCATCGATTCGTGAAAGAATACCACCCACGAGTAAGTGTCCTTCACCGCCGTCAGCATTTGTTTCCTACAAATACATTTCGCCACAATCATTCCAACGTCCCACTCTCAGTCCAGTGAAGCGCTGACCACAAGAGTCACATTACCTACACCACTTGCGATCCTCAGCCACCAGGATGACCGACGACCGTATACGAAACATGGGATTCAGCTTCCAGCCTCGTGCCCCTGGTCAGGTGAAACTATTCCAATCCCCTCGCTCGGTTCAATGACGAACAACAACCCCGCCTGAGTCAGCTACTGGGCTTATCGATATATTTATCCCCTCATTGCATACACAACCCGGTGGCTTAGGTGGTTGGAAAAACGTGGATGACCTTCCATCGAGATCCTTCCAGTCATGATGCCTCCCAGCATTACTACAGAATCGGAGGCATCATCAAGCCCAATCACGCATCAAGCTCGTTGCAATTCGACAGTGGAAGCAGTCTATATTTATTGAGCAACCTGTCGGTGGTTTACCGTGGCGTTCCCCTCCATGTCGGTCAATGGATGCTTTCGGATGGCCCCGCATGTGTTAAAAGGGCTGGTCAATAATGGTCAACTCGCGCCATTGGGTGGTGGTAGAGCTTGAGGCGAAACAGAAAAGAGTACAGCTGACGTCGATTTCCAATCATTTGTATATTGGTATGGTACGTCTTTCCCAGTTTGATTATCCGGTGGTTCGACTTCAACATGCAAATGCAAATGCAAATGCGAAATCTCAGATCTGGAATGCCGGAAGACAGACGGACCATGCCGTGCAGTGTTCTCCGTTTAATGTATATTAGGTTGGGTTGCACAACCTTACGGCGACTGTCAGTGATCAAGCCTCTTTTTGGCAGCGGTAGCGGTGGGGGCTCGATGCTTCAAATATGGGATCATGCCGGGAACCCCTCCATGGCCATTGAGTACTGTACGCCGCTGATAAAAACCTTAATTTGATCTTATCAGCACTGTATCCGTGCCCATCCCTTCCCTTCTTTCATGCACATCATCACACCACACCAAAATATTAATCCTGGCGGCACCAGCGCTTTATTCAGGAAAACGTCCGATCCGATGCCGCACCTTGCTGTTTCCAATGTCCAGTTCCAACAAAACACCTTCCAAAGCATCGTGAGTGCATCACTCACCGCTGTTGTCGACGGCGACGACGAGGGCTACCCGAATCCCCCGCAAATCACGGTCCAGTCGGGTAAGCGTCGAGTAAAAAGAAAAAGGTGTGTGGGCACCCCCCCAGGTAGAGTACATTTGAAGTAGATCATCGATGGCGAAGCTGGCACTATTGGCGTATTGGAAGCGCGTATGAGATCCTTTTGAGGCAAGTCTGCCCTTATCCTCCTCAGCTGATACATGCGGCCAAGTACTCCGTATTAGTAGCATCGAAGATCTTGATAACGATTTTGATCTGCCTTTTAGGGGCATACTAGCTGGCTCGGTACATTGTTTGATTTACGTATCAATTGGCTCTTGGTTCAAGGTTCAAGGCTTGACCATTGACAACAAGCGTTGTGCGTCAAATACTCCAAAAGACGGATCCGCGTCGTTGCCGTTGAAGTATTCACGTGAGCGATAGCTTCAAGCGACGTACTCAGGGGAGAGCTTGGCAAGAGAGACCTTTAGTGCGGGCTTCCCTACTTTCGTTTTTGCTTTACTTATTCTCTTGACATCACACTCTACAACTTTGTTTTTTGCGGAGTGCTTGATTTGCTCGCGATTTACCCAGGAATAGAATAGGGAGACTTGGGATCTTGACCATGGAAACTCTTCCCGAAACGGATTCCGAAGGCTGCATTGTTGCAATCAGGCCAGCATGTCAATACTATTGAGTCTAATTACAAGACCTAAGGCAGAGTTGCCTACTTCAATCAATGTCCCTTCGCAACTATCCACCCGACGTTGCCGGCCCAGTCCGGGTTTCATGAATATCCATATGCCGAATGATTTTCGAGGTTGAATGAGCAAGGGATATGTAAAAAGATCTTACACACTATGACATAAAGAAGATGCGGGGGCCATGGAAAATTCGCTCAAGAAGGGCTTATCTCTCATTCCATCCTGTGTGTGGCCTTCGATTTCAAGATTGTCGCGAGACTCGATGAAACATTTACATTTCCAATGATCCGCAGCTCACTGTATTTTTTTCGATTCTTACCTTTATCATCAGTCTGCCCGCCGTTGCCGCTCGGCCATTGGAGCCTCTTTAAGTTGAGAGGGAAAACCGAACCGTCGTTAGGAGTTCCTACAGCTAGCAGAAAGTTGAAAGCATTCCCATGGACTGATAATCAAATGGTCAAGTGCCTCACCACTGGAAAGAAGATCGAATGCGTCATTGCCAGAAATGTACAAACATTATCACAGCCTATGAACTAGTCTCTAGGAAAAACTGTCATCCCCTCGATTATCATTTCAAACCTAACACACAGGAAGCCTTGATTATGTCAGCCCCCTTATTTTCACAAGTCAAGAAGTCTTGCTAGGAGGTATTTCCACTGAACTATGAAAGCTACTGAATTAAGGGGTGGAAAACGCTATCATGTCTCAATTACAGTGAGTCGATGACGGACCTTCAAAGGTGACAGGGCCTGAAGGGCCTAGATCCTGCCTCGCCATCAAATTGGTCAAGTGACATAAGGTAAGGCGAGATCTCGCGGGTTTCACACTTGAACTAGGACTTTACGTTAATCTATGTAACGGCACGCTTGGAATGGCGGGCATTCAACCAGCTCTTGTTCCATGTAATGTTAGGTTTGGCGTTTTGAAAGCCATTTGAGGTCGAAAAGCCAGGAAACATGCTCTAGGGAAAGAGGTGTCTCAGTCTGTCATAAAGTATATATAATTTCTCACATCTAATCAATGGACCACGAAAGTTCTAAATGCTTAGTTACGTACATGCTCATAAGATATGCATGTGTCCAGCTATTCAGCTCCCTTTCTGAACCTTTGAATCTGCTTGGAAAAACACATATCAAGCAGGAGAGGCAGCAAGTAGTCCAAGGACAACAAAAATAGCAATTACATACTGTATATACACACCACTCCTCTCCCAACTCAACCGTCTTAAAAAAGGGGATGGTCCCGGTGACATGAACCCATAAGCCAAGATCCTCCTCATCACCAACATAGATATTTATTATATTCTACATACTCCTTCCTACGTACTCCCAATCAATGAGCAGGTAGCAGCGGGAAGATTTCCCCCAGTTCTGATGAGGTGCAACCTGAAATCGAACATCTTTCTTTCAGCAAAGGCCCGCACGGTGCCACGGAGCTTTTTTCTTATGCTCGGAACGTCGTCCTGATGAGTATCTTGCAGGTATCGACATTTACATTAACCCTGGTACGGTGTTGGGCGAGATCTTGGCTCTCTTGACCACAACGAGGTGGTGTATTTGTATACACGTTAACCGAGGGCCATTACTTGGTGAGTATATTATCATGCTACATTTTCAGTGTTCGAGGCTAGTATGTATATGTTGATTGTGAGCTTGGCTTTGAAAGGTGGGTTTATCAAGAGGCTCGCGTGCATTGCTCATTCGAAAAGCAAGGGACTGTACTTTGATGCAAATTCAATAGTAAGAGGTGCAGCCATTACTTATAGGTCTGTATTCGCCTTGGAGTTAAGAGGCTTAGGAATCAGTGAGGCGATTTGACTAAGTAACATCACGCATTTCGGCTCTTTCAGGGGTATGAATTAGAGATCCGATGTTGAATCCTGAATAAGGAAATGGACGGGTTTTAGTGCTCATAAATCACAGCTGTAACCGTTATAACAAGCCTTATACATGAAATTTGGATGTACAGTGTCTATAGTGGATGTGACTTGATCCAAGTTCGTATTGAGTCCTGAAGAATTACTTGGATCATATCTTTGCAATGGTATCTATTGTGGCTGACGGCTGCTATACTACATACATCCTATATCTCACAAGACGAGTCTCCCGGGCTCTCCTTCCAGAACAGTCTTTACTCTGTCCAAGAAGATCTGCGCTCTCTTCTTGTCGCCCTTCGGCACCGTAACACTGAAGACATTGACCGAGGTCGACATGCCCGGTGCAGGCTTAGAAGCAAGTTTAGATGGCTTTGCCGTGCCAGAGAGGATGTCAATTATATCAACGCTCTTTGCTGCAGGCTTTCTTGGCTTGGTCGCAGGGGCAGCTTGGGGAAATGCCATAATTTGCGGTAAGAATGTACCCCTTACACCGAGCGAAGAGACTTTATCCAGTCCAAGCACTTGGTTGAAGAGCTCGTCTGCTGAAGGCTTGTGTGTCTTCGATTGCGGTAGATCGTCATTCGCAACATCTGTAGCACGAGCAATAAACGTTGAGAGCGGCAGGAATATTCCAAGTGTCTTCTGTATCCGTTGCTGCACTTCAACGACGGAGGACATGGATATAGGGACTGCGACTTCAAGCTCTTCGACGACAGGTGGGGAGGTAGGTGCAGATTCCTGCGCTGGTTTTGGCGCCGCGGGTGGTGGGGCAAGTTTGATGTTGCTAAGATCGAGGTGAGAGAGCTTTTGGATTTTGGTTGAGAGCTCAGTGGGGTACGAGGAGGAAATTGAGCCCAGGTATGCAAGGACATCGCCCTTCAGCAATCGGTTGTTAGGACCAGTGGGAGTCATCTTATCTACATCTGCCTGCTCAAGACCTTGTTCGTGGATCAAGTGTGAGACGGATGGTAGGAGTGGACGGGTCTGTTTCTCCGCTGGTTTAGAGGACTTCGCCGGGGATAAATCTGCGGAAGAGGTCTTGGGTACAGCTTCTGACTTCGACTCGGACGCTTTCTCAGGCTTTGGCTTGGATGCTTCTTCCTTTGGCGCTGGAGAGCTTTCTTCTGCGGGTATTTCCAAACTGCTGATATCGTCTCCCGCCTCAGCTAGAACTCCAATCCGAGCTCCGACCTTGATTCCCTTGGCCCCGTCCCCTACAGTGATCTTTGCGAGAATACCATCGTCTTGAGCTTCCACATCCATTGATGCCTTGTCCGTCTCAATTTCCAACAGCACGTCACCGGCCGAAAATGAATCGCCCTCCTTGAGTTTCCAGTTTGCAATGTTGCCTTCGGTCATAGTAGGAGATAATGCCGGCATAGTGAAGTTCTGAGCAGCCAGGCACGCTGCAGAGGTCCGGAAACCTGTCCCAATAGATTAGTACCAGTCTTCTGAATTATTTCTTCCGGGAATACCCATACCTCGAGCAGCGGCATCTTGTCGCAACTGCCTGGATGTAAGCCTGGCTGACAGACGACAAGCTGTCACAAAAGATGCCATACTGGCTGTGAGGATTGAAAGCTCAATTGGCTTTTTAGGTTGAAGGTTCCGGAGCTTGGTGGGAGTCGTTGAAAGGTGTTTGCGTGAACCCAACGGATCGGATTTCCCGGCTAGCGTTCCCGATCGCCGACCGGTTGAAACTTTCTTGACCTTCCATCAACATTTCTCTGAAAGTCTTCAAGGTAAGAATTGGGTTCCCTGAAGGCTGACCGTATTTCAAGTTGCTAATATAGTATATGTAGATGTCCGCTTTCTCAAGAGGGTGCTTTTTGAGGCGCCAATGTGCGATTGGAGCAAGAGCATTTCAAGCAGCTCCCCGTACCAGCTGTCAACCTCGATTCTTCTCCTATGCGCCTATCCTCCGCGCAGCAAAAGTCCCCAAACGCGCTGTTCCTAATGGCAAGCCCTCATATGCGCCTGCAAATGCTACAGCAACTACCCCCCCACAAACTCGAGTCTACCAATCCTATGCCAACACCCTCGCCCAAAAACTCCACCCAACGCTCCTCTACCAAGCTCCTTCGTCAACCATGTTCATGGTAACCTCCTACGGTGTGGCATCTATTCTCATGGCCTGTGGCGGCTACGCAATCTTCGCCTATAACGAACCACGAGAAGATCTATCAATATGGGTACAATACGCGTTTGCAGTAGTAGGCCTCACGACGGGTGGAATGGCGAGCTATTTTATTCTTGGACCTTCCATGATGATTAAGTCGATTTCTGCGATACCGAGAAACGTTGCGCGTACTCTAGTAACACCAGCCGCAGGTGGTTTTATTCCAGAATTGCAACTCGAAGTGGAGGTCAAGAGGATGCTACCTTTCTTGCCTGCCAAGAAGATCTACGTTCAGCCTCAAGAATTGGTCCTTCCAATTCCATTGGGACCTACGGCTGCGCAGCGTCTTACTCCGGCTGAAATCAGACAAATGGCGGCAGAGAAGAAAGTACAGAGAGAGCAGGATTTGGAGTACCAGAAAAACCACTTAATGACCTTGCCGTTCAGACAGTTGAACAAAGCATTCGTCAGCCTTTTCCAAAATACGAGGAGGGCTCTTGTGAAGGAGGGATTTCTGAAAGTCCAAGTGAAGCATTCGACATACAAGCTTGATATTACGGGTGGATGGGCACTCGATAATGGAAAAGCATTGGACCGATTGGTGGGGCTGAAGAAATAGTTAGTACTGTAAGAGATATATAAAGTTGTCAAGTATGTATTTCTAATCCTGTCAATATCCTCTGTACACAAATATTTTGAAGACTTCCCACGTTCCTCTTCTTTGCCGTCCACCTCTATTGCTCCCGTCTAGATCTGAGAAAGATAACTTGCATTTTATAAAGTTGTGCGGGACATGACAAGAGTAGTATTATGTTTTTTTTTCAAGTTCTTTATTGCAGCACAGCATCATGATATTTCATTCAGCTACCTCTCATTTATATCAGTTAAGTACAAATATCATTCGGCTCGCGGCTTAGAATTGGAGAAGGGTTATTGTGTCGCTTCCCCTTTCTTGCCCAAAATAAATGAAAGAACGACTGTCGTAATCCAAGCTACAATATCCTGCATCACTACATAAACCTCGGATACTTCTCCACGGCCATTTCGGCATTCGAACACAAATAAACCTCTGCTTATATTTCTAAGAAGCATCCAATCACAACTTCAAACCATTTCTATCTAGACATCCATTTTCATTCCCGAAATTTACTACGAGACATGAGATATTCGATAGCCACCGGCCCTCGAGATCCCTAATACTTGTGGACAATTCAGAGCGATGGTCTGATAATCAAGAAGGGCCTAAGTAATGTGGCGAGCTCGACCCAGAGTATGTTTCGTTCCGAGCTCATCAAGCCAGTTCTCCCAACTGCTTCTGGGGTCGGACTGTTATCATTGGTCTCATCCCATACCGGTACTTGTACAGTTCTCCATTGAAGAGCCAGCAGATCGGTTTGCCATGTAAGTGTTATCTCAAAACCGAGGGATAAAAGAGAGGCTGAGGCGGAGACTAAATTATGTTCCACGTTCTGTACAATGCAATATAATGGGGCGTTCCACCCCTGCCTGCTTCAGCCTCCAACCCCAGTCTAGAAGTCTTACTTTGAGATTGGCATAGTCCCGCTATTCTAGACGTAGGACTCTAAAGTTCTACGCTAAGTAGTAGGGAGTGTCAGACTAGGCAAATGGCTTCATTATGGCTTCATTACAATTACTCTTTGCCGACGCATTGACGACAAGCTCGCCGGTGTGTAGCGTCTTGGGAGACGGCAAGTCTCAACGCTCCTGCTACTCTAGGGAAGGGCAAATATACTTCGGGCATAAAAGCGAATGATATAGAGACCACAAGGTCTATGCTTGGGAACAATGGGAGACGGCAAGGAATACCAGGCTAATTCGGGCACGGGCTCCTTATCTTTGGATGAATGGAAAACGAGGGGACAAAGCTGAAAGAGAAACAATTATTCTTAACCTCTTCTCCACAATAATATAACACTTAGTCTTCAGCTGCGTTTCCCGCGTCTCGACGGGCGGCTTTCGTGGAGAGCTATATAAGAGTTAGGCCTGAAGCCATTCTTTAAACGTACTGCTTGTCAGCCCGTGAGTCCTGTTGAAACCTGTGATACGACCAGAAAAGTCCCCAGACGCCTTTGAATATAAGCGCCCGTTTGGTAGTGACGGCTACACGTGGAAGTTTGGGGTGCCCGGTTCTGATGAGGACCAGACACGGCCTGTGAAGACGCAATACTAAGTAAGGTAGGGCCATAGACCACGAGTTTTCGCTTGCGATGGCTTCTTGCAGCCAAATCGCGGCTGTATTTCTATCACTACGGAGATACCTCGCAATTTGCATTCCTCCATCAGATGAGACTGGGATGCAATTGGTTCCCCTCGCGGGGGTTTTGTTTAGAGAGATGTGTGGCGTTTTCAGCTTGAGCAAACGCGCCCCTGAAGGCATAAACTCAACCAGGACGGCGCAATTTGAAACTAAGGCATAGGTTTTTCCGAAAAGTGTAGGCTCATTCGATGCACATTATTTTGCCGTGGTTGCTCTCCATGTCTAACGTCTCATGAATAACGTCCCGAAATGCGAGTCATATTCACATAACATTGACTACCTAGGTACGGTAGGTATGTATGTACTGTATCTTATGTAGGTAGGTGGGTAGTCTGCGAATAGAATCAATTGAAGGCTTGGCAGAGGATCTGGCCAGCATTAAGGTTATAAGATACGATACGATACCTGGATACCTAGGTAAATACGTAAGCATGCGATGCGATCTGCAGGGTTATTTTGCTCCATGGCCATGGATGCATCCCATTGCCATTCCCTGCCTCTCTGTGCATCCCTGTTGCCATGTGTTTGTGCCAATGTTTGTGCCACCTACCTAGCGAGCCGAGGATAGCCCTCTGAGAGTATATCTATCTACCTTAGCTTTACGATGGCATTTTCTTCTCTCAATCCCGTCTGCATTTGCCTTCGCGCATCGCTCTGTACCCAGGGACCATGAAGTTTAATGAAGCCTCCTCGACATTGTCGCCTCTCCCCAGCGTCCTATCGCACGGCTTGGTAGCCGTCTCAACCTTCGGACTCCTCTCATTCTTCTGTTCGACTTCATTGTTCCTGTACCTGACATGGCGTCTTATCTCATGGCGTCGAAGCTCTGTCGTCAAGGTACCAACGAATCAATTCCTGTTCTTAATCTACAATCTCCTCTTGGCCGATATCCAACAAGCTCTAGCCTTCTTGCTCAACATTACCGCTTTGAGGAACAATGCGATTCTTGTCAATACGCCGACTTGTTTTGCCCAAGGGTGGTTCGTGTCAACGGGGGACTTGGCCAGCAGTATCTTCATATTGACGATCGCGATACATACCTTCTTCAGTGTAGTGAAAGACTACAAACTGCCTTCTAGGACGTTCTACTGTGTCGTTGTCGCGAATTGGGTATTCATTTACCTGATGGCTGCAATTGGACCGATCAGGCATGGCAAGAACTTCTACGTACGGGCCTCGGCATGGGTAAGTTCTCTTATCAATATAACACCTTGTACTAGTGTACTGACAATGACAGTGTTGGATCAATGATGAATATTCCGCCGAGCGTCTTTGGCTTCATTATTTTTGGGTATTTATCTGCATATCCTCTACGATTGTCATTTATGCCTTTGTACTCCTCTGGATGCGCCGAAAGTCTCGCTCGGGTGAGATCTCGAGCCATGCAGCTCACGGTGCTACTCCGCTCATGGTCCTTTACCCTTTGATATACACCATATGTACGGCCCCCCTTGCCGCCGGTCGAATAGCCTCACTAGCTGGGACCGATGTCTCTCTCGGCTACTTCTGCACGGCTGGTACTCTGATAGCATGCAATGGATGGTTAGACGTGCTCTTGTATGCGAGTACAAGGGCTGATATTGTGTTCGCCGAACTACCTGGGGAAGAGACTGGCTTGGAAACCTTTGCATTCATGGGCAAGGGGCACAACCTTGGGACGACGACCACTATTCAAGCTGGTGGTGGTGGGCATAGGAGCAGACATAGGAGGAGCGTCGATGGCGAGAGCATGATCCACCTACAAGGCATGGGTCAGATTGGAGTGAAGGGCGAGGTGAGTGTTGTCACAACCGACGCAATCCAACCTGGACATGGCAGGAGAGAGAAGAACATGTCGACGAGCCACGTTGGCGCGGATACCAGGTTGCCTTGGGATAACCCTAGTGTGAAGAGTTTTGATAGTTGATGACCTGATTCTGGGCGTTATTGGATTGGAGGGCTCTCCGGCTGGCTGGGAAGTCTTATCGGCGGTTTGATCTCGTTGAACAAAATGTATAATAACTTGCAAAAACAATATAAATATTCTAAAGCACGACGAATTTGAAGTCGAGTATGGTACTGTCTCGGTTGACTATGAGTTCTTTCATTTTTGTAAATACAATTCGATAAATGTGGGAATACTCGCTTGATGGTATTTTCAAGGGCTTGAAGTCGTCTGAATCATTAAACGTTGGAAGACTTTGAGCCAAGCACTTCTTCTTGTCACCTTGTTCTCATCCATCCTATTACTTATAGCAGAGACCTTCATAGCGGCATCAATTTATTACATGCCAGGTGTCCTAAAAACCAATGATAATGAGTGCCGCTTCTTGTGCACCAAGTGTCAAGCACGAGCTAGGAGTAGGTTTATCTGCCTCCAGATTCTAAGGTGAACAAGTCGAAGACTATATAAAGTAAGAATCGGATCATTTTGAATTTCATCGAAAGAAAAGATGATTACTTTTGGAGCTATATTTGAAAAACAGTGGTAGCTATTTTTATACCTGAATGATCAATGTAGTCCGAGATTCTAAAATTAAAATGGCTTCGGATTTAAACTTCGGATCTCGCTTCAGGCGGACTACTTTGAAGTAGAACGATGTGGGCTTCTAGGGCAGTAAGCCTAAGCGCAACTTTGCCTTTTGGATTTTTAAGCCTAGAGGAAGTGTTCATAGTGGTGCCTAGCTATATATATAACCCCTTTGGATCAATTAGTAGAGATCATTGAAGTGTAAGGAATACAAGGAGGTCCTGGTGATTGGCAGCGGGCTGCTGACTTATTGACGAAGGAGCGTGGTGCTTACCCAGGTATGTACGAAAGCCTTTTGCTCCATCTTTTGATGGGCCAAGAATTATGATAATTCTAGGCAACCGCAAAATATCTATATCTACCTAGAAGGTAAGAAATTACCGACGAGGGAAGACGTCTAGAATAAACCCAAGTATGCGTCCGCGATTTTAAGCTTGATTTCGGATTCCGAAGCGAGCGAAGCGAGCGAAGAGGAAGGGAAGGAAGGAACGACTTAAGACGCTCGTATTTTTTATGAGCTCTAAGTACCTATGAGGCTAATGAGAGGTAGAATAATGTACGGACGGAGATAATGATTACTTAGTAACAAGCAGTCAAAAGGTGCAGGTAGGGATTATCCAGGGCTTGATCTTGTGCTGGTATGATGTCGTTCAGGCGACCAGAACAATCACATCAAGCCTTGATGATGGACTTTCGAAGAAACACCTTGGATATTTGAGACATATGAAAGAGAGCCATTGTTGCGCAAGTCTAGATTAAGAGCCAATTGATAAAGCTAAGAATAGTAAGTTGCTTGCATGCCTAGAAGGATGCAACGATGCACTAAAAATGTAAAGTGGATTCCTTTATCATCCCTTTCCAATCATCTTATACTTCATCCCAAGTACTTCCACTTAAGCGAATCCGAGTAAATACGGAGGTACAGCGGTTAAGTATTGTTACAATTCAAAATTAGTACTTTCACCCTCTATTCCTAATTGGGAACTCCTAATAAATACAGCCCCTGTAAGCACAGCCTCGATAGGCTTGAAGCTTTGTAAGCACTACCCTAAGAGGCCTAGAAGACGCGCCTAAACCCCTGTTTGTTTTTTGAATTGTAATACTTAACCGCTGTACCTCTATAAGTCAGCCTCGGGTTTTCAATGTGGATTCACTTGCGACTTCCGAGTTGACTCGATTTAGATGTGAGAAACACCAACGGATTAGGATGTATCTCCTGCACCCCAAATTAGGAAGTGGCAGTCAGGTTGAGTTTATAACTTAAAACTCAAGCCCTCGGCCAGGTTTTTTTTTTTTTTTTTTTTCAAAGACAGAGGCTTGAATACTTCATACCTGAATTAGAGGTCTCGGGGTACTTTTATCGACATCCGAGGCGCCCATATCATGATAGCTGTAAGACGTCACTACCAATCTACACTTCCATTTGTTGCAACTAATGAAATGGGAATGTAGGACGGCCGTTTCTAGAAAGAACGAGTCTCTTGCATGCCAAAATGTACTCTCGGAAGATATCGAAGAGAGGGTTACCCATAATATCCTTCGTTGCAATGATCATCATATTCTGGATTGTCACGCCTCGAATGCCGAAGGTGACATGGAATTTATCGGATCCACGAATCTCAAAACACACCCCGATGGCACCGAGCACAATGGAGGGGAAACCGCGAGTTGAGGATGCATTTACTCCACCAATTCCGTTTGCTTCACAAAATACACCACTTGAAACAAACACGGCTGAAGAGGTATTGGAAGTTGAGGATGACCGTCCACCAATTCCGCTTGCTTCACAAAATATAGCAATTGAAACGAACACGGCTGAAGAGGTATTGGAAGCTGAGGATGACCGTCCACCGAAACCACCCGCTTCACAAGAGACTCCAATGGGAATGGGAGCGAATGAAGCGACTTCGCAAGTTGAGGATCCAGTTAGCCCTGCAGAACAAACGCAGACTTATCAGCAAATGGATCTAGGAGCAGTGGCTAAGGTGTCATTTCAACATGGGAAGCTCAAGCCAGGAGACGAATCTTATACAAAGACGATTGTGATGCCTAGGACTGTGGAAGAGGACGTGAGCTGGCTTGAGCAAAACTTCGAGGATGATGAGCATTTCAGAAAGGCGGTATATGTTGTGGACGATCCAACAGCAGAGCTATATCCACCAAAAAACAAAGGACACGAAGTCATGGTATATCTGTCATATATCATCGACCACTACAACAATCTCTCTGATGTCAATATTTTCATGCATTCTCATCAGTTTGCTTGGCATAACGACGACCTCCTCGACCACGATGCGGTTCAAATGATAAGCCGTTTATCGGCGGAGCGTGTGCAACGAGAGGGCTATATGGTTCGTCATGAGCTACCCTTTGTTTCTTGAGGCTTGACTCATCAGCTCTTGAAACACAGCTAAAGACACGTACTGATTGGTTTGTAGAACATGCGGTGCCATTGGAACCCCGGTTGTCCGTCGTGGATGAATCCTAAAATTGTCGAAGAAGATATCAACAAGCAAGAACAAGCAATGCTCGCAAGGACATGGTTAGAATTGTTCCCTCTCGACAACATACCGGATATACTAGCCCAGCCATGCTGTGCACAATTCGCGATATCGAGAGAGACTATTCAAAGTCAACCGCTAGCAAGATACGTCTTTTGCCGAGATTGGTTAATGAGAACTTATCTCTCAGACTATATTAGCGGGAGGATCTGGGAGTATGTGTGGCACTACCTGTTCACAGGAAAGAGTGTTGCATGCCCGAAAGAAAACGTCTGCTACTGTGACGGATTTGGGGTCTGTTTTGGTGGGGAGAATGAGTACGCCAAGTTCTTCGCTCACCGTGACGAGCGGGAAGCTCTACAGGGGCAATTGGAAAATTGGCGCCAAAGGACTGAAGAATACCAGAATGGGCCAAGTGGAACAGAGCTGGAGGAACCAGAGGTAGGGAAAGATTTGGAGCTGGAAGGTAAAATTAACGGCATGTTAGCCTGGGAGACGAGGAAGGTCCAGCAGGCAAAAGAGAGGGGGGATGTTGCCATGAACAGGGCCAAAGAAGCTGGAAGAGATTGGAAAGATGGAGATGGATTTTGAACGGGCTCCGTATCCAAGCTGAGGCAATATCCACTAGCTCCAATAGGAAGATTCGAAGTCCAAGCACCGCACCTATGCCGCGGGCAACCATTAATACTAAGGGCAAAGTGTGCGCCTAGGAACAGAAGAGACGGCAATACATAATTGAAGGCCATTGTTAACGAGGGATTTGCGGGGTCAACAAACGTTCTGGTGTAAAACTAAGTTGCTTACCACCGGTATATATGTATACAGTACTGTAAATATGATCTATGTCGCTGATACTCGCCTTTTTCGTAAGTCTAATATCCCCTCTATAAATCCACTACTTGGCGTAGATGGCTAGAACGCTATAGATCTGACTGGCTCTTTACCCCAGTATAGATGCTTAGAACCATAGAATAAACTAATCTTAAAGTGAGTTCGGACCCCTTAGGAGCCCTGTAAAGTAATAGTGAAATCTAAGTTCTTCAATTGGTGCGGAGTATACATTTATGGGTATAGTTCAGGTGGTGCTGTCAGACTTTCTCGGTAAGAAAAAAGGCGAGTAAGTAGTTGCTACCTACGGAGTAGTCATCTCAAATGGACGATCGTCTCGATCCCAATGCGACGTGATCTTAGCTACTACTGTACAGTATCCTTGTGGAAGTTGTGAGGAGTGGGGTTGAACATCTGAAATGGGATGTGCTCCGACGTCAACCCCGCCTTGTTAGCCGAATGATCAGCCCGGTCTTCGGCCGAGAGAGATGGAATTCGGTCCGTGTAGGTAAGGCATTACTACCTAGGTAGGTAGAGATGGAGTGGCATATACCTAGATGCCTTATTCTTCCAGACTTGACGATGCAGCGCAACGGCTGAAAATGTACAATTTCGTCCCGGATTATTCACCATTTCTTCAATACAGTATATGGAATATACTGCAACATAATAACTCTCGAGTCATGCTCACCATGCTACACTAACCGTTGCGGGAATTGAACCGGCCCCATATGGTGATCCCAACCCACTTAGAACGACCCGGACCGTGCAACCAACCCAAATCAGAGATCCTTGCTGTACTGATCTACTGTACGCAAGCCTGCCTCGTTGAAAAAACCCTTACGGAGTATTGTGATGAGCCTCCTCGGCGATTCAAGACCCCATGTATTATTTGCTTATTGGAAAATCATTCAGGTCGAGATCGGGATATCTTGCGATATATCGGTTTTCATGATCTGCGTACAGCGATCCTCCACATCCGTGGTTTCGAGAAGATTTGATGGGGCACCAGGGGCATGAGACGATGCGTGACGACATTTCTTTTGATGGTCCTCACATTGTATCAAAACAATCAATTTGCAGCAGGCCCATTGGAAGAAGGAAAAAGGGCAAGTCAGGTATGTGAAGACTACGATTGATAGGTACTCTGGCCAGACGGCACTTCAACTTCAGAGGGGTACGTAGGCGGTTGTCGTATAACGTATTACTCCGTACGGTAAAAATTTAACATGGGTTTGTTAGGTAGGTACCTCAGGTAGGTATTCAATAGCTCCAAGACCCACGCCATCGGAAGTACCTTTACCGTACGGAGGTAGTGGATGGCATTCATTGAATACCTAGCTTGCTAGCGTATTCCATTGGTCACTCCCTGGTACCGGGGAATTCATCTACGTACATTATACCTTGTGAAGATCTATCTCAGCTATACCTCTTACTGTACTGGAAACCTTCATCTAATGCCGGGCGCTCTTACATTACTCATTCGTACCTGCATTGTCCCACTTGTATTTTAGAGCCTACACTACATACAGGACTTTGAAGCTAGAACCTCTCCAACTCCATGACGAGCCGAGGACTACATCTGTTTTCTTAAATTCTTCTCCTGTCCTCTGCCATTCACGTCTGATGTCTGAAATCCCATTCCTATTCTCTTCCCCATTCCCTTCCCCACCCCCCCAAACCCAGATACGATGGCTGCCGAAATCAGAAATATCCCTTTCCACAAGCCCGACGCTTATAGAGCCTCGCCTACCTCGCAATCATTCGATGAGCCACTGAGACCAGGCAGTTCCCATATCCGAACTATCAAGGCACAAAAGGAGTCCAGAGAGCCTCTGGAATTTCCAGAACGCGTGAGGTATGTTGCAAGTTCGTAGATCATGATTTTGAGAATTACAACGCACAACGATACTTGAGCACAAGTGGGAGGAGTAGGTGGGGCTAAGACAGAGGTACATAAGTATATGTACTTGACTTGCTAGGCGCTCGGCATCAGCAAGGGTCACCGATATCAGATGATTCCGAAAGCGTATATTCATTCTTCTAGAGACTAGATGTTGCAAAAATATGCATTTTGTGAACCATTCTGTGGCCTGGTTACTGATTCTTCTCAAGCAGCAAAGAATATCGTACGCGCACAGAGATCGACTCCCCAAGAGATTCATCGGACAACCCCGCTCCTTCCACCTTTGGTTCCGAACCCTTCTCTCAAGCCGACTCCGCATCGACCTATCAGACCTCAATAGGGACCCCTCTCCTGCCACTTCAGCAGAAAGGCCAAGATGAACGTGATCACCTCGAGCCCTTGGGCGAAGAAGACATAGATCCAGGGTCATTCGACCTGGTAGCTCCTCCCGATGTTGGGCCTACTCAATACTCGCTTGAAACGCGATCCGAACAGCTCTTTTCAACCGAACATCTACAAGTAATATTCAATGACCCATCCCTCTTACTACGATTCTCGGCTTTTTTAAGCGCTAGTAGAGCTTCTTCGGTTCCAATCCTCGTATATTATCTTGATGCAATCAAAGCTCTGAAAGCTATTAGCTATTCAAATGCAATCGCAGAGGCATTGGAACCTATCGATGGTTTTGACTTCACGTCCAGCACTGCGAAGTCGACCTTGAATGAAGATTTGGAGCAAAAGGCTAAGCAGGCCTTCGATGCAATGGTCCGCGAGGACCTGCCGGCATATATTGCACACTTGTATATTCAAACCGTCAGCGTGTCAATACAAAAGAGGATCACAGGCACACTACCTCCGCATCTAAGAGAAGCATCGGAGGGACTTGCGGAGGTGTTCTGCTTGACTGATCCTTCGAGGCCTGATAATCCTATTGTGTTTGCTTCTGAAGGTATTTCGTGAACCAAATATTATATCACAGCTACTTACATATTGCCAGAATTTCATCGCACCACACAATATGGCATGTCTTATGTAATTGGCCGCAACTGCCGGTTCCTTCAAGGACCAAAAACCAGTCAGCATAGCGTCAGAAGGTTGAGGGACACGCTTTTAGCTGGCAAAGAACATTATGAGGTATTCTTGAACTAGTGAGTACATCTTAGTTGAAGCCAGCTTCAAGAGCTAATTAGTGATATAAGCCGACGGGATGGATCACCATTCATGAACTTGTTGATGATGGCTCCTCTGTGCGACAGTCGGGGAACAATCAGATATTTTATTGGGGCGCAGGTCGACGTATCTGGTCTGGTCAAAGAGTGCTCCGATATGGAGTCACTTCACCGTCTCGTGATCCAATCCGACAACGACGAAGAAATGAAGAGAAAGGGTGAATTGCCTGTGGAATCTCCTAAGGACGAATTTCAAGAGTTGAGCGGCATGCTGAACTTGCAGGAACTGAACACCGTTCGAAGATTTGGCGGGAAAATGCACAAAGAAACCGAGGAAGAACACCTGGACACAAGCCCCCTAGCCGCAAATTGGAACAAGCCTAGACTGCTCATCAACGACAGCCCTGATGCTTCCAAGGTTTATAGTCCGAGGTCTCGTGTCAGCGGCAAGCTCACCGGCATTTACGAGAACTACCTACTTGTCCGACCGTACCCAAGCTTAAGAATCCTGTTCGCGAGTCCTACTCTTCGTGTTCCAGGCATTCTGCAGAGCCCATTCATGGCTAGAATCGGGGGTTCGAACAGAGTTCGAGACGAGCTGACTCAAGCATTTGCTGATGGTCGGGGAGTTACAGCTAAAGTACGGTGGGTTACGAAGCAAGATAACGAAGGTCGGAATAGATGGATCCACTGCACGCCTCTGCAAGGAAGCAATGGCAGCATTGGCGTTTGGATGGTGGTGATTGTGGATGAAGAAACCAGCGAAAAACGATACAAGATGGCGCCTCCAGTCGATCCGACAACTAGGAGCTCGAGAGCTCCGACGCCTTTTGACATGCAAGAAGACACCAGTCTGAGGGACTTTGCCCTCAAAAATGGCGGCCGGTCAAGGGAGCCTACCCTTAGAAACCAGTCAAGCGTCATCAGCCAGCATACGGTCGATCTGGAAGGAGATGGTAGTTTATACAGCTTGAGAATCTGAATTGTGGGATGAAGGAAGTTTGTTTGAAAGAGCGAAAGGATCGCGCAGATTCATAATGGTAAGGGGCTGGCTTATGTACTTTACGGTAAAAACTTTGTGGGCAAAGGAGGGGTGGGCTCTGTATAATGTTGTATGATACCAAGGATGATTATAAGATTAGGTAGGCGATCAATCAAGGAGGACAAGAAAGCTGGGCTTTCGAAGTATGTAACATGGATATATTTTTTAGCTATAGTTGAAGCCTAATTATGATTGATGTGCCACAATATATTTGCAATACACTGACCACAAACTACCTCCTTATTCTACCTAGGTAAGCGATCCATTTGCAGTTTTGTGGGGTATATAGCCAAGTCGAGGGTGCACGTATCTTGCTGAAAGAATGGGAATGGGTCAGCTAGCTTCAGTACTATTAGCACTCGTTCTTCCCGCACATCCATATCTGTCTGTCTCCATGAAATGTGAGTCCGTATGTCGATAGTCATCTGCATCGGGCTGGGCGATTCCGAAGCTTGTTGAAGTTGCAATCCGTACCGAGTCAAAATGTGGATGTGGTGTGACGTACGAGGCGAAGCTCGGATGTGCTGCTTCCCGAACAAAGGGGCCTTGGCACTTGGCTACGCGGCGTTGAGGTCCGTGTGTGTCTGGACCGTCACCGTCTCTGCGTCTGTACCGAGTTTCAAAGCTTTCTGTCCTTTCAATCAAACCATTGGTTCTCTGTTTCAAGGCGGTTTTTAAATCATCCCCTCCTTATGCTCATCAAACATGTATGTGTCTGGCATGCAACTCTACGCGACGTACAGTACCGAACCTGCAGTACAAAGACTGGCCAAGGACGCCAGCTTCTTTATCCGATTGAATCTATTTCTCTCTCTTGTCTTGTCTTGTCTTCTGAATACCCTTCTCTGTTTTGTTCACCGGCTAGGTTTACAAGTGCCGGCACTATCTTATATCATACTGTACAAAGGCATGTTATCATTACCCCTCTGAGGAGGCACTACTCTTTAGCTCCACAGCAAGCTACTACTTTTAGAGCGCAGAAGCTCAGGTGGACGCGACGAGATGGATATAAACGATACCACTGTCGCTACAGCTATAGATTTACAATATCACAACACAAGCATGCTTCGCCCAACAATTCTTGCCATTCTATTCTCTCTGAGTCTTGCTGTGGTCTACAGGAGAGGGCAAAGGAAGAGCACTTCAGAGAACAGGGAACCACCGGTCCTGACCTCAAAGATTCCACTCTTTGGCCATTTGATAGGAATGCTGAGATGGCAAGTTGGATACATGCAGATGCTGAGGTATATTGAAACCGTGGCCTTCAATAATAGGTGCCTCGACGTCAGGCTTGCTTCCGTCACATACTGATGATCATAATCCTCCAGTTCCAAATGCCCTTCATGGCCAGCCTTTACTCTTAGAATCCTTTCTTCGCGCATCTACGTTATTTGCGATCCAGCACTAATCCAAGCGGCCTACCGGAACACCAAAGCATTTGATTTTGGAACATTCGTTGTCGAATCTTCAGAACGCCTGTTTGGAATTAGCGAGGCTGGAATGAAGATTATGCGCGGAGAGACGGCTCCAGGATATGACCCCAATGGACCTCCTCTGAATGGAAATAATGGGGATTCGTTTTTGAATGACCATCATAACTTCATGATCGAAATTCTGTCTCCCGGCCCAGCGCTTCGTGAGTTGAAATCAGAGGTTTTGGACAGAGTGGCAGGATCTCTCGATGATTTGGGCCGAAGTGGAAAAGTAGAGCTGTATAAATGGACGAGAGAAGTCCTTACAATTGCATCGGCGGAAGCTATATATGGCCCAGAGAACCCCTTTTCGAGTGACCCAAAGCTTGTCGACGCACTCTGGTATGTCCTAGTCCTCGTCTTGGCCCACTTTTCAGGTCAATACATCACGTCGATATCTTGCTAATTCAGAGATAGGGATTTCGAGTCTGACGCAACTCTCCTCATGCTTCAATTGCTTCCTACATTCATCTGCCCTAAAGCATATCATGGCCGGGGTGCTTTGAGGGCTGCTTTTGCCAAATATTATGCCAACCACCATGATCAATCAGCCAGTAGACTTATACATTCCCATCTTGCGATATGTAAGAAATGGGGTTTCAGCGATAGTGATATCGCCAACTTTGAAATCTCAACCTTGTTTTTAGCTACCACCAACACAGTTCCTGTATCTTTCTGGCAACTTTCTTACATTCTGTCCGACGCCTCTCTGCTTGAAGAAATTCGCACCGAGGTAGAAGGCATAGTAGAGAGGAGGAAATCAGCTGAGACAGGGGAAGAGTATGCAGTGTTGGATATCACGCTATTCCAGTCAAAATGTCCACTTCTTCTCTCCACTTTGCACGAAACGCTCCGATTTGTAGGAGCAGCTACGTCTGTCAGAAGCGTCATATCACCTACCACACTCTCCACGCCCTCGCAACCACCCTATCATCTCCAATCCCCAGCCGTCATCCAACTCCCCTCGGGCATAACCCACTCATCGAGCAGCATCTGGGGCTCGGATGTGAATTCCTTCAACCCACGGCGCTTTTTGCCGAGTACGAAATCCGCCCTGGATAAGGAAACCCGGAAAAAGCAAGCGCAGGGTTACTTGCCCTTTGGCGGTGGCAAACACCTTTGCCCCGGCCGCTATTTTGCCATCACGGAGGTTATGTCGTTCGTGGCAGCTATCGTGTTGGGATTTGACGTGCAGGGATTCAAGGTGCCCGAGAGGGCATTTATGAAGCTGGGGACAGCCGTAAGGAAACCCCTGGGTGATGCAGAGGTTGAGGTTAGCAGGAGGAAAGGCTGGGAGAATGTGAAATGGAAGTTTGATACTGTTGGGAAGGGGGATGTGGATTTTGCTGCCTTGGTTGGGGATATTGATGTTATTGAATGAGGGGATGGGATTGGGGAATATGTGCATATGTACCATTATACCATTTTATGTACCCTTGAAGCATTTCGAATCCCGTAGGTAAACAAATTAAATAAATTTAAAATCCGTTCAACCAACTACACGCAACCCCTCTTCTCTTCTGGCCCTCGAAATGAGTGGAATGGCGCGGCAACGGCCCATAGTAAACACCTGAACCCACTACCATCATATACCACATTAGAGATTAGTAATCACAATACGTTGTAAAATCTGTCCGTAATGGTGTAATGGTTAGCATTTCTGCCTCTCATACGAAGTTCTCAAACTTCAAACAAGGTCGCAGGAGATCAGGGTTCAATTCCCTGTTACGGAAATTTCTAGTTTGTTTTTTTGATACTTTTCTTTTTTGGCAGTGCAGTTTCCAGTGTTTGTTTGGCGTGGGCGTGGCGTGGCGTGGGCGTTTATTCATACATTAAGCGAGATGCGACTTTTAGGCGCGGCGCGTGCATTGAGTTGTCAGGTTTTAGCGCATCCTCCTTTAAGCATACTAGGTAGGTAGCTACGTATAGGTAAGGAAGGTAGTTGCACAATGATATCTCAAAGTTGTTCAATGCGGATAATAAATAATCGTCAACTTTTTCTCGTCGTCAAAGTTTGTATTTGTGTTTGTGATGGATGATTCGTACGCCATTGAGTCTGAGGGCCATGCCATTGCAAAGATATTCATAAGACAGACTACTTCACTGGTGAGATCTGAGTAGACAGACAGGAGGTCTAGTCTGCCCACAGCATGAAAATACGCATGCGCTGTGGAGAAAATCGTCGTCGAGGCGTATACATATCCCTTTCCCCAGGGATGCCATGTGCAATAATAGGTACTTAGGTACGCCTTTTCGTTTTCTCGTTTAAGCCATTTCTCATGAGAATTGACATGGTCACAAAACCCATACAAAGAAATTTAGCCATGTTTTGCAATCATAAATCTTGACCCGTTCTCTAAGTAGTTGAGTTTCGTCTCCCAGCGCTACCTACTTGACGTCAAAATTACAGCTGAATCATTCCGTAAGCCTGATCCAGCGAAGCTACTCCTAATATGCTCAGATGAGAAAGCAATAGCAAAGACGCATGCCCAGTGCCAAAATATCGCTCCTCTCGCAAATGTTCGCTCGCTCCTCCCTATGATCCCAATGCCCGTGAAGCCAGCCAGCCGTTAACGCCAAAAATGATGCAAGTGATTTCCTCATCCAGACATCACCTAATTACACCCCAATCGCCCAGCTTACCACCACCCCCTGCGTCGCCTTCTTCTCTCTGGCCTGGCTTCCGTCCAAATACGTTCCAGAATCGTAATGTCTCGTCGCCGGCACCTGTGACGACGACTCGGCCATCGGGACTCATAGCTAGATATAGCACTCGATAGGTGTGGCCGGTCAAGCTCACGACTTGCGTCATGCTTGGGTATTTCCAGACCACAATTTGGTTTTGTGAGTAGCCATGCGTCGAGACAATCTCATTTGAGTTCTTTGACCAAGCAAGGTTACAAACTTGGGAGCCAGTGTCGATCTCGTTAATTGTGGTGCCTCGAAGTGTGTCGTGGAAGATGATACGTCTATCAGCAGTTCCTCCTCCGGATGCCAGCAGCCCTCTTTGATGTGGTGACCATGCAATGGCTTTCACGGCTGCGGTATGCTCGCTGAACTTCCACAGGGGGGTTTCATTAAGCTTGTCCCATACCATGAGCTTATTGTCGTTACCACCAGAAGCTAATTGCCCATCTTCGCAATTCCATCTCAGACCACAGACTTCTTGCTTATGGCCGACTAGCTTTCGAAGCCATTGATCAGGTGCTCGAACATCTCGATGGTAGATTAGTCGATCCCGTGATCCAGAAGTGAGGATATGATCGTTCCAAGCGAGGGAGCCAACACGTGCTGTGTGGCCAGTCATAGTTCGGAGCCTTCGTACTCGCTCGGCATCCCAAATTTGAACAAGACCTTTGCCTGTACCAATTGCAATGTGCGACCCTCGCTGGATCCAGGAGACACTCGTAACTGTATCGTCTTGTAATTCGCAGAGCTTGTTTACTCGTCCGGTTTGCGAGTTCCACATGTAGACGCAGCTGCCCAGCCCGACCCCAAGTATATTAGTGCTTCCCCAATCCACTAGATTAAGATAAAAGTCATCCGCCAGATCTGGTGCATCGAGCACTTTATAGGGAACTTTGCTGACTGCGCGAGGTTGTTTTCGAGGCGTCAGCAACATCTGTTGGCTGCCGAATCGAACCGGCGATAGGCTATACATCTCTGACCTCGCATTTAAATTGGGGCCATGTCTACTTTGGGGCGTCCTCGACGGTGTAGGATGTCCAGGAATATTGGTGTGGTGCCGGGGTGACATATATGTAAATAGGTTCTTGTGGGGGGTTGAGGGCGTCAAGGAGACAGGAAGTGATGAATTAGACCCATTATTAGGTGGCGTTCGGGATCTTGTAGGGTCATGACTTGTAGTGGAGTGTGAAGAGGGGAGTAAAGTGGTGTCCGGTGAGAGGTTTGGGGGTGTAGGTTGTGGGATAGTGGTGTCAAAAATTTCAGACCGGAGTAGAGTGGAGAATGTCCGATTTGCTTCTTCGGCTACACCATTGATTAGATACGAACTTGGATAATGTGCATACAACATACTTTTTTGAAAATGAAGCTCTCCGTGAGGGGTTCGTTTCTTCTGCTTTGACGGCGTCGCTGGAGAACCTTCGTCATGGAGTAGACTAAAGCTGGCTTGTAGATCCTGCCCTTCTCGATTTGGAATAAATCTAATGTTGTCAGTACTTGTATTTCTCTCTCTTGATATCCTCTTGATAACAAAACCACTTGGGGGGAGCCAAAGCTGACAGTTCGGCACTTGCCCAGACATAATTAGAGAGCTCCAGTAGAACTACGTTCAGATCTATGGACTTCCCTTTATACTTTTTGACAAGCGCAAAGAGAATTGTCCTTACCTGTCACCATATACCCGTTGGCGCTTCCGACTTGGACTTCCCCCAGGTGTTGTTTCTCGATGTCTGCCACTCCCCGCATCCTCAAACTCCTTTAGCAGAGCTTTACTCAGAGCATTCGGATCGATCGACTCCGCTGTAGGAGTGCCGGTTGCCCGTTCACCCCGCGACATATTGTTCTCAAGCGTTCTCTTGTCCGGCTTCCTCTTCTCGATCGCTGGGGGTGGGGTTGAGGTGCGGGGCGGAGTCGCAACTGGTGGTGTATTCAAAGCATTTGCGGCTTTCGTAATATGTGCATGGGAGATGACCGAATTGTAGATTTCATCGCTGGCACCCATAGTGACCGACTGGTAGCGCACCGGAGGTGAGCTCTTGCGGTTGCTCTTTCTGTCCACTTAATGCGACACGGGGATTTGACGCCCAATCCACCACTCCTCGATATGGCCGTATAAAAAAATCGTATCCTAGAAGCTAACGGGTTCGTGCGGCGCAATGGTATTTGTTTTTTGAAGAGTTCGTCCTGGAGAGACGTAATTGTTGACTCCTGTTGCCCTGCCACCTCTGTCTCCAGCGAATTGTAGATAAGTGTCGAATCGTAGTCCTCACAGCTGCATCGCCACCAGTATTACCAGCAACCCCTCCGCTTTGGTGCAAAAGTCCTCGGAAGGGACGACGAGCTCGGTGTCGATGTTGGGTGATTGTTGTTAAATCCACGTTCGTCTCGTAATTGCTGGCGATAGTTTAAGCTGGAGTCGCTTTACTAGACGCTAGTGAATCCGGATAAAGCACGGATCAACTCTATTCCAGGGAGAGGAGAGGAGAGGGGAGATTCGAGCCGCAAACGGTCACAGAAGAAGAGGTGAATTATTGAGCGATTGGAGGACTGAACAACTGATGTGATATTTAGGAGATGAAGATGAAGACGAGGATGAGGAGGAAAGTCTAAGGGATGCAGAATGCCCTCCAGTACAGCATCGTCCCCACGGGCTAAGGGCCAAGCTGCTGGCCAGACGCACGTCGCGGTCTGCTCTGCTCTACTCTGCGGTGTTTCTGCTACCTTACATCGCGACTCTACATCTCGGGACGACATAATATGCAAGACCCGCCCAAACATTGCCCAGAATTGCTCCAAACGGAAATAAACGTTTCATCCCTTCTGCCCTTTTCGTCGCTTTGTTGTGAAGGAGAAGGCGCCGCCTAACGCGAAAGCTGCGTTTCCGACTGGCTCAGCCCGATTCAGGGGTAACAGATGCCTCAATCATTGGCCCACAGCCTCTAAAGCGCGTAAAGGGGTTGCATAATAGAGAGAACTGGAGCCACCTTTGATGCAAATAACAACAACATTGCATCGCGAAACACATGAGCTCCACAGCGGAATACCATGTCTTAGTATATTATCTACATACTATACGAACCTGTCAAGTGAAGTTTTGCCGCCGCCCTAAATCAGCTGCTTGTTATGAATGCCGCATGCCCTTATATTGAAGAACGGCCCCAAAGTCAAAAAATCTTCTGCGAGTACATGCAGGTAGAAACACATATGAGATACTTCAACAAATTATATAGTATTCTTGAAGATCTTCATGTCACGGTACTTGTCGGCGTGCACTTATAAGGCATCATCGGGTTGCATCCCACAGTCTTTATTTATTTGCTTTTGAAAACTATACATTCCAACCATCAACATTTCCCTAGAAGCTCCTCCTGGAGGCTTAATCATGCAATACTTTCCCAGCTCCTTCAATGGCGGGCACTTCACAGCTGGGATGATCTTACCTGGCCCACCGATTTCTCCAACGATAACAACGCAGGTTAATTGTTTTATGGCATCCTAGATACAGAAGATCAGATCTTTATATCCTAGGTCACTATTGTGCTGTATGCTCAAGAAATATGAGTATGTGATATATATAGGCTAAACAATCATTTAAGACTATTGCAAAGATCGGTATCCATCCTGGTATGACAAGATTTAAAAGAATCATGAGTTTAGAGGCCGCCAGCGCAAACATACATATAGTAACGTGACGAAAATATTTCACAAAGCCGGAAACATTCACAAAACAAAAAGATACTAGCAGGACCCTATACAAATAGCACGAAGACTAATATTTCATTGAAGAAGAAAGATACAACATTAATTTGGTAAAAGTGCGCCTACGCCTTGTGGTATATTCCGCCCGCTACCCCTGAGAACCTAGCATCAAGCACTCTTCCAATGCCTCTGAAAAGGCAAGAAACTTCCGACGGTGGTCTTGCAACCAGTATGATCAGCTAGTCGAGAACACACCGTGCTAATTAAGCTGGTAAATCACCAATTTTTCTCTCACGCGCAACATCTTTTGCTCCCCCATCAAGCCCAGTCGTGCCACCAATTTGATCATTTAGCAGAGGAATTTTATCCACACTCCTACTCCTTGCGTGGCTCGATAGGTTCTCTGAGTCAGCCCCTCCATGAACAGCTTCTGGTTCTTGCCCAGCATCAACCTTGGGTGTCATGAATGGGCTTGTCGCCATATCAGGGCTATTCTGCCACTTTTGCACCTCGCGCTTCATAGCCTCCATCTCTTTCTGAAATCGATTGCCAAAGACATCGATGTAAAAAGTCGCGCCATTATACACGGACCAGCAGAACACTGCCATGAGAAAGGTAGCAGAGGCGTAACGGTACCAGAACCAAAATGGACAAGGCAGCATTGTAAGTACAGCGTACGAATATTGAATGAACATGAATGCTGGCTCTTGAAGGCTGTCTGGGAGAGAAAGCACGGCCTTTCCAATCCAGGCTTTAGAATAGGATTTTCGGAGCCAGGTGAAAGAGGTGGGGCGTCCAGCGGCGATTTTCTCGCGGCGGCGAACGGTTATCAAGAAGTGGTAAGCCAGCTGCCATATCGCGTAGGGTATTGTTGACCAGAGAGTCATGTCGAGAAGCGAGTAGTGAGTCTTTGATCCTGGTGGTGAAGTTATAATTGCGTAGATTGCTGGGAAGCGTTCCTGTTGAGCTGCTGGTGGCAGGAGATGGACGAGACAATGTAGAGTTACGCATGGCATAATGTGAATAAACAGACTTGTGACTTTGTCGAAGCTGTGGAAGACCAAGGAATTCCTCCACATTGCTATAGCCACAGCATTGTTCCCGAAGGCCAAGCAGAAGGTGCTGATGAATAGGCGTTTCGACTGAGGGAATACCCAAAACGATAGGAGACAGAGGAAGTTGACGAAGTAGCAGAGATCAGCCAGGAAGTAGTGGTATCCCCGTTTGTGATATGTGAAGTATCGAATTGGCATGAGATATAGCAGCTGCGCCGTGTACCAAATGTGAAAGTACTGGGGGTATCCCCCTATCAAGTATCCACTGATCAGAACATTTAAGACTCCGCAAATGAAAGAGACCTTTTCTCTAGCAGTGACCACTTTGGTATCGTTCCAGCGCCTTCCAAGTCTGTCAACACTGACGCGCATCCTCTTCCTGTATTTGTCCAGCTGCTCGTCCGGAAGGGGGACTCGTTTTCGCCATTCTTCGACTACGCGCTCCTTCGCATGTGAGCCCCTTGTTCTCAGAACCTCCCTCTGCCTTTTGACCTTATTGGTTTGTGCTGATATATTTCTCTGTAGCTTTTCCAGTTGTTGGGGAAGGGCGAAATTGTCCAAGAGGTCGAAGACTGTCAGTCTTTCCAAGGGAGGGAATGCCTCCCAGTCCTCTTGATATGAACTACTTCCTGAGAAGGACCCATGGCGCGATAATTGCGGGGTGAGAGTCGGACTGTTATCTGGGGGTGAAGATCCTGCTAGAGACGCTGCAGCTGGTGGTCGAGATATCTCTGGAGAGAGACCGAGAGGATTAAGCGCAGGCTCTGATTTTGAAGCTGGTATAGGTATAGGATCGGACATGTTGGACAATGTACGTTTATGAGCGGTCGAGGAAGTTATACCAAAGAATACTCGACGTAGCAGTCTGCCCCCTCCAAGAACGAAACTGTCAGCCATGCTCGCAGATATTAAACAAGATAAGAACACAGAAAATAAGCTGTAGATGGGCTATATATTAAATGCAGGCTCGGGATAACTTACCAGTCTAGCAGTAGGTGACTTTATATGTAGTTATATGAAAGTGCAGCAGGATAACCCCACCTCACATGGATGGGTGTGATAGCTGCTGATAAGAGGATGAGGGTGCTGTTGAGAGATGATGATGTCGACGAAGATGGTTGAAAACAGTAGACTCGTGGTTGGAATAATTGGTTGACGAGCGTTGAAACAGGGAGTCGGCTTGATACTAAATAATAAAGCTGGCTGAACTCAAGAGCGGATGGCGAATACTGCCAGAGTCAGAGTCAGGGCAAGGCCAGGTCAGGTCAAGTTCTAATATTGTTGGAAGGAAGCAAAAGTTCTTCTTCACACATGGAACATATTCGTACAGTACAGTACCTAGATAAACATTGGATCTGGAGTCTGGACTTTCTTTAAGACTGCGTCATTTCCAGGGGTCTGAACAGATTGCCCGTAATCACGTGTCGTATATGCAGCGGCTGGTGAGTGTTACGGTGACTGCTAAATGCCGGTAGTGCAGTATCTGGTCAGATTCAAAGAAGTCGACGCGACTGGAAATATCGCGACTTCAACTTTAATGCACCCTTTGACAACAACGCCTCCTCTTCATCTCGCGCTGATCCATCTGATTTTCTGTTTCAATGCGCGTTACACCTCTGTTTTTCAATTTCGATTAGGCGCAGAGTCTATATCTACTGTGATCCATTCGGCGGCGCGTGCGCCCCTCCTCCTGGTTCAGACGCGCACAACTCAAGATGGGAAAGTTAATACGTCTTGAACTCTGCAGTAAGATGATCGCGTACATGTTATGAGATGTAGTGCTCACTGCCATCCAGATTTCAAGTCCTACAAGGGATCTCACACCCTCCTTTTTGGCGATTCCTATTTTACTTCTATTATCGGCCCAAATGGCTCCGGAAAGTCCAATTCGTTAGTTGCTCTATTCACTATTCCCAGAGAATGCATGCTAAATCTGCTAATAGTATGGACGCAATCTCCTTCGTTCTCGGCATAAGATCATCCCAACTTCGTTCGACTGGTCTGAAAGACCTTGTGTATCGTGGGAGGGTGTTGAAGACCTCAAAGATCAACGATGACGGTTCTGCGGCTGTCCCTGTTACAAATGGACAAGCGAATGGCGACGCCGACGGCTCAGACGAAGAAACACAATCGCAGCGACCAGCGCGCAATGATCCTAAGAGCGCCTGGGTCATGGCCGTCTATGAGGATGATGCCGGCGACGAGCAGAAGTGGAAGCGGACTATTACGCATCAAGGGACAAGCGAGTACCGCATCAACGACCGCTTGGTGACTCAGGCGGAATACAATGAAGCATTGGAGGAAGAGAACATTCTTATTAAAGCCCGGAATTTCCTGGTATTCCAGGGTGATGTTGAACAGATTGCTTCACAGTCTCCCAAGGATCTTACTAAACTCATCGAATTGGTTTCGGGCAGCTTAGAGTACAAGGCCGAATACGAGCGCCTGCAAGAAGAGGCAGAGCAAGCTGCCGAGAACCAGAATTACAACTTGCACCGTCGCCGAGGTATCAACTCAGAGATAAAGCAATATCAGGAACAGAAGAAGGAGGCCGAGGCATTTCAAAACAAGCAAGAAGAGCGAGATGATGCCATCGTTCAACACATTCTTTGGAAACTATACCACTTTCAACGTGTGATGGAAGAGTCGAGTGCCAGTATTGAGGAGCACCACTCAAACCTGAAGGAATTCCGTCGGAATGTCGACCAATACCAGAAGGAATTAGAGCAGGCCCGTCTCGCAGCATCTGACGTCAACAAGAAGGTGACCAAGGTGGAGAAAAGTATCAAGAATAAGGAAAAGGAAATCGAACAGAAGGAGAGCAGCCTAGTCCCGATCGACGAGAAAATCGGAATTACTACGAGCACCATTGAGAGGATACAAAGGAGGCTGGAAGCTTTGTCTAAGGAACGTGGTGAAAACGAGATCAAAATCAAGGACTACAAGAAACAGTTAGTCACCGTCGAGAAAGCACAAAAGCAATTCGAACTCCAATGGCAAGAGACGTTGAAGAAACAAGGCAAGCAGCTGGACGAGGCGGATCTCAAAGAGTACTATAGTCTCAGAACTCAGGTCGTCACGAAGACAGCCAGCAACCAGTCCAAATTAGACAACCTTGTTCGTCAGATGAAGACAGATGAAGTGACGGTCAATAGTTTGAAGGGGAAGGTGGAAGCCTTCCAAGCCACCGTTGAGAAGCTGGAAGGGGAAGTCAAGTTCCTCCAAGAGCGGAAAGAGTCTACAAAAGCTTCTGTGACCGAGATTTCGAAGGAGATTGATGCCAAGAAAAGGGAGTACAATCAAATACAGTCCGAACGCGTTCGCACCAACCAACTTCGCACTGAGCTCGACGAAAAATTGCAAGAAATTTTAAAGTCACTCACCGATGCTAATGCTAGCAGAAGGCAGAACGACAAGGAAGCACGAACCAGGGAAATGATTGTGTCTCTAAAGCGCATCTTCCCAGGTGTTCGAGGGCGTGTTGGAGAACTCTGCAAGCCGAAGCTGCATAAATTTGACGAAGCTGTTATCACTGCCCTTGGTCGAGACTTTGATTCTGTTATCGTGGATACCGAGAAAACTGGTACCGAATGTGTCCAGTATCTTAAGGATCAGCGCTTCTCTCCAATGACTTTCATTCCTCTAGACAACATCAAGGTCACTGCAGTTGATGCTAATTTGAAAGGTCTGGCTAAAGCTCGCCTGACTATTGACACTATCGAATTTGATTCGTCTCTTGAGCGTGCAATGGCATATGCTTGTGGAAGCTCAATTGTTTGTGATGATCTTGCAACTGCAAAGCAAATTTGCTACAAGAAAGGGATCCAAGTCAAAGCAGTTACCATGGAGGGCTTCGTGATTCACAAGGCTGGTTTGATGACTGGGGGTCGGGGGCCCGAGAATGGCAACAAGCGCAAATTCGAAGACCGAGATGTCGAAATTCTGCGAAGACAGCAGCAAAAGATTCAGGATCAAATGGAGGCGCTTCCTAGAGTTAATCGCAGGGGCGCAGCTGAAGAGACATTGCAGAATGACTTGACTGGACTGGAGCAACGTCTCGCCTACCAAAAGAGCGAACTTGCAGGTTTCGAGAAGAATCTTGCGAGCAAGAAGAAAGAGTTGTCTCATGAGGTGTCTCAATTGAAGGAGATGAAGCCCAAGTTTGAAGAGAAGCAGTCTTCACTTGAAAGCATTCGGGGAACTGTACAGGAGTTCCGGGACGCTGTTGCCAAGGTTGAGGATGGTATATTTGCAAGTTTCTGCAAGAGATTAGGATACTCAGATATTCGGAGCTATGAAGCACAGCAAGGCAGTTTGGAACAAGAAGCTGCAGGGAAAAAGAACGCTTTTGCGGTCCAGAAGAAGAAATTGGAGCAGAATGTGAATTGGGAGACTAATCAATTCAAAGAATTGGATACTCGAGTCAAGAAGTTGGAAGGACAAATTGAGAACCTTGAGAAGGATATCGAAACGTACACTAAGGAAAAGGAAGAGCGAGAGGCAGCAATCGAAGTCGACAAATCGCAAGTGACGAGTTTAGAAGACGAACTGGCAAAACAGAAGGAAAAGCTTGCGGCAAGGAATGAAAAGGTCAATCAAGCCCGGGCCGAGGTTACAAAACGAAGCAAGGAGATTGAGCAACGCACCAAAGCAATCACTGCCTTGGAGACCGAGATCCAACGAAATAGCGCTGGCAGATATACTATGCTACGACGTTGTAAGCTTGAGCAGATTACGATCCCATTAACCGAGCAGTCACGAAAGCTTGATAGTCTTCCAGTTAACGAAAATCTTCTCCAGGCTGACCCTGATGCAATGGATGTTGACGAGGACGAAGACGAAGATGGAGAAGCAATCCAGGAGGCAATGAAGGACTACGGAATCGAGGTTGACTTTGAAGGCCTCGATGCCGATCTCAAGACGGTATGAAATCATAGTTTAGCCTTTTGACTAAGTCGCTAATTTTGTCTAGCCCGATGAAGAAGATGTTGAAGAACAGTTGCTTCAGAAGATCACCGACCTGAATTCCGAACTTGAGAAACTCAACCCCAACATGCGCGCTGTCGATCGCCTGGATGGCGTTGAAGCACGCCTGAAATCCACAGAAAAAGACTTTGAAGATGCTCGACATCAGGCCAAGGAGTCCCGCGATGCCTTTAACGAAGTTAAGGAGAAGCGTTTCGAGCTGTTCAACAAAGCCTTCTCACACATTTCGGAACAAATATCTCACGTTTACAAGGACCTCACTCGCTCCGCTGCATTTCCTCTTGGTGGCCAAGCCTACCTTGATACTGAGGATGGCGATGCTCCGTATCTTTCTGGCATCAAGTATCATGCAATGCCTCCATTGAAGCGTTTCCGTGACATGGAACATCTGTCTGGTGGGGAGAAGACTATGGCTGCTCTTGCTCTACTATTCGCAGTCCATTCGTATCAACCAAGTCCCTTCTTCGTATTGGACGAGGTCGATGCAGCACTCGATAATGCAAACGTGGAGAAGATCATGAGCTATATCCGGGAGCATGCTGGACCTGGAATGCAGTTTATTGTCATCAGCTTGAAGACAGGTCTGTTCCAGGGCAGTGAGAGCTTGGTGGGTGTGTTCAGAGATCAGGAGGCAAACAGCTCTAAGACGTTGACGCTGGATGTAAGTTTATGCCTTCTTATGCTGTTCGGCGTGATGCTGACTTTGGTCTTAGTTGCGTAAATACGCATGAGCTGGTTTCCCGGACAATGATTTATGGAAGGTATGGCTATATATTTATTGCTATGGGAGGATGGTTGCATGCACTTCAAGATATGGATAATGAGGTGAACGCATTGTGTACATGAATTTCGCAAGATAATTACGAGAGGTTCGGAGCAATACCGGTTGGTTTCTAAATGATGCATAAGCTCTCTTCCGGTATATTTTATGTCCAGTGAGCCCCAGGCCTAATGTACAGATTTACAACGATTCTCGGCTGAGAGCCTCCTCGACACTCTTGCACCTGATTTTGAATTCATCTCCGCAAATCTTCTATTACATGCCCTCGAAATGTCTACTGGAGTGGATCTCTCAAGGCATACATACCCCGGTCTCAATCCCATCTCACTCACTTCTCCTTCTCGCCTCCCCTCCCACCCATGCCTACACCGCTCAGAAAACACATCCTCATCGCCGCACCCACATAAACAAACCCCACATTCCCCCATGCCATACAATTCCACTCCCAGGCCCTCCAATAAACGCCCGTCCCTAGGGCCTTCACACTCCAAAGATGTCCGAAATCCGCAAGTAGCAATCCAAAAAGCAGCGTTCTCCAGACGCGTAGATCTGCAGTAGAGCGTAGGACTAGTGCTTCGTTCAGGGCGAAGAGGAGATAGAGGTTTGCGAGTTGGGTGAGCGCGATGGTTGTTGAAAGGGGGAGGGGCGACCCTGGGGAGGGCATAGTGGAAAGGGGGCTGGAGGTGGAGGAGACTTGGGAGTGGGTTAGGGAGAGGTAGGTGACAGGGTGGACGTGGGCGTAGTAGGCACCGGCTAGCGCAGAGAGGGGCTCGATGGTGAGGAAGAAGATGGAATAGAGGCGGGGGAGCGTGAATGCTGGTTGTGAGAGGGCCATGATAGCTGTGTTGTTCCAGGGCGAAACGACTAGCTCTGAGGCGAAGGGATGTATGTTCAGCCGTATATATGCCCAAAATGGAGCTTCTGGGGTATATTCAACCTGCTCTGGTTTTGTGTCTAATAGATGGAAAGAAGTCTCGAAATTTGACTAAATGAAGACTGGTCACGTGTTATGTATGTGTGTATTTGGAAATTCTAGATGAAACTGGACACTGGCCCAAGTCATCACCGTGCTTATCGGGCTGAAACCCAAGACAGCACAACACCGCTAAGGATACCCCTGTGTTTGGATTGTGTGCCTGATCAACAGCCAGGATTGAAATTGAGATTAATTACTGGAGGCTTTCGTACTTGTATCCTAATCCGCGAATGAATGGTCGCTGCTGTAACACAAGAGCATGCCTAACCTACATGTGGCACGTGGCAGGACTCAGGAACAACAGAATTGCAAGATCATTACTCACTCTGAGTAAGAAGTCTGCCGTACGAGCTTGCATCTCGGCAAGGCGGAACCTATACACCTACCTAACTATGTACTTTATGTAGAGTACGTACCTGTCTCCTGTACAGTAGATAGCAAATCCGGCGACTGATGATGGGACGACTTGGCTTGGTTCAGCCACAATCCGCCACCTCCTCTCCATCTCCTCCTGCCGAACGGCAGTGCCGCCTTTAGTGTGTTTTTGTTTTCATACGCCGGGTTCTCCTCGTTTCTTGTTTCTCTATCTTTGCAGCACACAACAGAACAGAGCGCAAAGCCTCTCCCCACACATTCCTTTATCTGTCTATCTACCTATTTACTTGTTTTACGAACCCGTAATTGCTTCACAGGAGTCTAGTCATTCACTCATTCCTTCCCATTATTGCGTTTGTACAAGCATACATTACACCTGAGTCCGCTCCCCTTACCTATTTACTGGCTCGTTCTTCGCGTCAACCAGCGCCGACTGGGACCACCCTACCTTTCTCATCGCCGACTTACGGCCTCCGAGACATTTGAAAGCACATCTGTGCTCTCCCCGTCCTCAAGATAGCCCTGAAAACACGACAATATGGCCCGAGTTCTCCCAATCGACGAATGGGCCCCGCCACAATCCCGAGCTTCGACAAGCGACTTCAGCACATTTTATGGTACAATGGGGTCTGAGGATGTCTTTGAAACCAAGGAAGTGGCGCCTTCGCGGTTTAGAAATCGGTTAAGGTCTCTGCCATTCGCAAAGGATACTGATATGTCGTCGGGGATGGAGAAGATGTCACTAGGCACCAAACCGGAGGCATCAGAAGATGGGAAACGGGAGGGAGGATTCCGCGGATTTATGCGGCGGGCGTCGGTTTCTATAAAGAGGAAGCAACGGCGCCATTCCCATGCTTCGCATGCGATGCAGGACAGGCCCCAAACGTCTGCTTCCCCGTGGGACAGGCTAAGGCAGGCGACAAGCTTCAATAGACATTCGAGGTGCTTCCCCGCACCATATTTTGACGCCGAATCCTCTACCGACTCTCGTGGATACCTCACTCCTATTCCTGGACATGGCAACGCGCCTCCAGTCATACCTAGAGGAAGTGGGGGAGAGGCCGCTCGAGCTACGGCGGCAGCGCAGAACGAGTATTTCTTCGGGAGGAATCGCCATCTTCTGTCTCCGGACTACCAATTGGAGGATCGCGAAAGTGGCATTGGCATAGACGTGGTCCAGCACCCCTCTACCTCGATCGACCGCGTTGACTTCATTGTGAGACTGCCTAATGAGCTTGCAATTCAGATTCTTGAGAAGCTTGACCATCATGCGCTGGCTCGGACGACACTGGTCTCTAAGAGATGGCACCAGGTCTCTTGCGATAATCAAATTTGGCGCCGAGCGTTCCTTCGAGAGAAGTCAAAGACATATGCTATGAGTGGTCCGACACCCCTAGGTGCAGGCTTGGGACTTCCATCGCCAGATCCCAACCATGACTTCAAGGACCTCTACCGGATCAGGCAGGAGCTGGAGTACAATTGGCAGGAGGGCCAAGCGGAGCCTATATATCTCAATGGGCATCTGGACAGTATATATTGTATACAATTTGACGAGTAAGCAGTTTTTTATTTGACATAGCTGTCTGGTAGCTAACATTCCACAGGTCTAAGATTATAACTGGTTCTCGCGACAAAACTATTCGAGTATGGGATATGAAAACATACACATGCAGCTTGGTCATCGGGCCGCCAGATGTTGTAGGGAGCAATGCCATGTTTAGAGAGGACGGGAAACTCCAGCATTTTGCTGTAACGCAGGATCAGAGCCGACTAGCGGAGTCCAGACCATCTTGTGTCTCTTATCCTCTCTATCACAATCAGTCAATTTTGTGCTTACAATACGATGCGCAAATTCTCGTTACCGGCTCATCTGATGGTACTTGCATCGTATATGACATCAAGGATAACTACAGGCCGATCAGAAGACTAGAACATCACTCGGCAGCAGTCCTTGACCTTGCCTTCGACGAGCGGTACATCGTCACATGCTCGAAAGACGTTAGTATTTGTGTCTGGGACCGTGAGACAGGCGAGATGTTGAAGCAGCTCCGAGGTCATACGGGTCCCGTGAATGCGGTCCAGCTGCGAGGTAATACGATCGTTAGTTGTAGTGGCGACTTTAGGGTCAAGCTGTGGAACATCGACACAGGCAAGAACATTAGAGAGTTTTCTGGTCATACCAAGGGTTTAGCTTGTAGCCAGTTCTCCGATGATTCAAGGTTCATTGCTTCCGCAGGAAACGACAAGATCATTCGCATCTGGGATGCGAATACTGGGGAATGCCTAAAGAAGATCGAAGCTCATCATAATCTTGTACGGTCGCTCCATATCGATTCTGTCAGTGGACGACTGGTTTCCGGGAGTTATGACCAGGACATCAAGGTGTTTGATATGGAGTCGGGACGTTTACTCCTGGACTTTCCGAAATGGCATGCGAGCTGGGTTCTCGGTGCTAAATCGGATTACAGACGAATCATCAGCACGGGTCAAGATCCAAAGATCCTCATTATGGACTTCGGTCTGAAGGTCAGAGGTATTGATAAGTTGGAGAGTTGATGAGATGTATAACAGCCTACTAGCGTTCATTATGGGTTCATTTTTATCGGGCGTTGGCAACTAGAACAAATGAAGCAAATTCCGGGGGGCAGTTGTGGTGGGTTTCTTGCATTTGGGGTTGCAGCATTTTCCCAGCGTAGCATTTTGGGCACATTTGGACACAGTTTCGGAAGCATCATGTTGCTGATTTTCTTGATCATGCCGAGCGAGCGAGCGAGTTGTCCTTTCCGTTTATATTATTCTTAGAAGAATCAATAATGTGTGATTTGGAAGGAGATAGATAGTATGACTACATGAGAATCTAATAGATTTTGAGTGAGGCAAGCTCGTGGCTTCAGAAGTGACTCCTATGGAAATAAAAATACCGAGTGCAACTTTGAAAACTCATGACAATTCAATCCTCGCATCCCAAGGCCACGATAACCTCACATTGCTGAAAGAAAGTCAAGGAAAAGGGGGTGGCTCACGTGACTATAGGCTAGGACCAGCCAGGACCCACAAATGCTGATTTTCGCACAATCGCTAAAATGTCCATGATCAAAAAGTTGCAGACGATCGAACTTCTTTCTCACGACAACACCACCGCAATCATGAGCGCCATCAACAAGATCGCGGCCAACAGCCCTTCGCGCCAAAAGCCATCTGAGCTTGAGACCAGCATTGCTGGCGCTCTTTACGACCTCGAGACCAACACCACCGACCTGAAGGCTGCTCTCCGACCCCTTCAATTCGTGTCCGCAAAAGAGGTGAGCAATTGATTAATCAGATCTAGACAGATAGATACGGTGCGCAGCTTCATACGAACGAGACGATCGACTTATTTCGACGCCGGCATACCTATCCCAATTCTTACATCTTCGAAGGAGTGCAGACGCGTGCGTGCGTGTGGTTGGTTCTATCATATTCAAACTCCAGCTTGAGATACAACATACAACATACACACATGTGTTTGGGTTCCCAACGATGCTATGAGTTTGCTAGATATGTCTGTCGGCGTCGGGGTTGGTCGTGGATCGGAATCGGACGGGCTGCGGACCACTACGTGGAGATCGCATGCTGACTTTGATCGCTTTGTAGATTGAAGTTGGCCACGGCAAGAAGGCTATTGTCATCTTTGTCCCCGTCCCATCCCTTCAGGGCTTCCACAAGGTGCAGCAACGGTATGTCTTTTCTTTTTTCACCCCTCCATTGTCAATTGAGCCAACGAAACACGTCTGACATCCATTCGTTACAGCCTCACCCGTGAGCTCGAGAAGAAGTTCTCCGACCGCCACGTCCTAATCCTAGCCTCGCGCCGCATTCTCCCCCGCCCCAAGCGCTCCAACCGCTCCCGAACATCCCTCACCCAAAAGCGACCCCGTTCGCGAACACTCACCGCCGTTCACGACGCCATCCTCTCCGACCTCGTCTACCCCGTCGAGATCGTCGGCAAGCGTCTCCGCACCAAGGAAGATGGCAGCAAGACGTTGAAGGTTGTCCTCGATGAGAAGGAGAAGGGAGGTGTGGACCACAGACTCGATACTTACTCCGAGGTCTACCGGAAGTTGACTGGCCGTGGTGTTGCTTTTGAGTTCCCTCAAGGTGGTGCTTCCGAGTACTAGATGCTAGCTAGCTTAGTTCGAGAAGGAGAAAAGTCTTGATATGCGTAGGAATGGGCATCTGAGCTGAGAGCGCTGGGTTTGTCTTCATGGCGTAGCTAGGTCACTCTGAGCAAATAGGCTTGCAAATACCAATCAGCTTGTCGTCAAATCACAAATGAAAGTAATCAATCGTGCCTTCCAAGTCATGTGCAAATCAAATGGGTATATTGGACATCTACTCTTCGTAATACCTAATCCTCTCTGCGCCAACGATGTATAGATCAGGAGCAGCTTTGTTATACGCTATTTTCTTTAAACCTGAGCAATCCTCCCGACACCCAACACACACCAATACGCCAACTCCCTCTTCTCCTTAACCTCCTTCTCCCCCCTCCCCCACAACAGTATCATCGCCCTGCCCCTCCGCTTCCCACTCAACCCTAACAAACACCGGAATCTCAACCACATCCTCATCCTCCCTCACCGGCCCCCTATCCTCCTCCTTCATCAAGACATCCGCCCTCAACGACGTAGGCACAACTTCAACCACCACACTAACCCAATTCCTGCCCCTCTCCCAAACCTTGCCAGCCTCGGCTTGAAGCTGCCCTTCACTGGCTTCAGCCTTAGTACGGCGTTTCTCCCGCTCGGCTCCTTCGCGCAGTGCTTCTTCCCATGCGTCTGTATTGGCACCGACTTCGAATTGCGGGCATAGTACCGTGACTCTACTCTCGAACCTACCGGGCGTTGTGCCAGGGGTAGCAATACTGACTTTGACCCTATCAAACAGCGGGTTCTTGAACGTAAGCACGAACTGTGTTGGCTTGAAAGGCGTGAGGAGGAAGTTTTGGGACGTGGCGAGGGGACGGATGGAGATAGACGGGATGTAAGATGGTGCCACGAGACGGATGCGGAAACGAGTGGTTTGGACTTTTGACTCGGGCTTCGAGAGGATATGGCGGCACGTTTTGCAGCGTTTCGAACGCTTGGTTCGCAATAGGTATGCTATTGGTCGTAGGTCGTCTACTGAGTGTATGTGCGCAGGATGCGTTTGCTCTTTGAGTTGGGCGACGGAGGCTGTATTTTCGTAGCCCTCGTTCCGCAAGCGAGCAATAGTCTCTTCATCCGAGGCTGTATTGCAAAGTTGGAGCCCTTCCAAAGCATCTTGTGCTTCTCGCATAGTTCCAGTCTTGCTTTTCGAGCGCTTGTCTGCGAAGTTGCTGCCGGTGTAGAGGCCCATGATCCGGGATAATGCTCCGGGTGATCCATAGCCATAATCTCCTCCAGTAAAGCCCAGAGCGCTAGCAGGCGAAGCTTCCGCGAGCTGAGACTGATAGAAGGCCTTGAGATTCGCGAATTGGCTTTCAGCATCGAGGTCCTCGTGCGCATCCAAATTCACAGATTCTTCTCCTTCCTCCGAAATCCCCTCCTCCATTACCATAGGCACTGAAGCATCCCTACTCCTCTCTTCTCTATCTTTCCTCCGTTCCTTGGGAGTAATGACTGGGGTACCTCCATTCTTGACTTTTGAGAGCTGCGCATATATCCCATTCGGCTTCTCAAACTGTATGCCAATCTCCTTTGAACTCCACATACAATACGCGCAGTTCAGTACATACGGTCCGCTAGGCTGCACGTATTCGGCGCCCAGGCCTTCAGGCGGAGCTCCTATACTGCTGACGGACAGCGGGGCAATACATATGGGGCATTGGAAGCAGCTACGTGTACATCTACCATGTTCCATTAGCTGTGTGTTGCCAGTCCGCAAGAGGGGAGGGATGTACCTATTTCCTTCGCTCTTGATAACACCCGAGGGAACCTCGAACAGGCAATTCGGGCAATACCACGTTACAATCTCATCTAAAACACACCGCGGACATCGGATCTGGTGGCAGTCCTCACAGTATAGCAGGTGTTCCAGGGGATAGAGACTAAAATTGGCGCGCGGAGCTCTTGGGTCGAATGTTCGATCGTCTTCTTGCTCTGTTTCTGAGGAGCTGGAAGGGGGCCTTGATTCTCCTAGACGCCGCGGGGGTAGGTTGGTGTCTGTACAGGGACATTGGAAGTAGGTGTAGGGTTTGAAAGAGGCCATGGTTGGGGATGGTGAGGTGGGAGAGCTTGGGGAAGTTGGGATGTGGGGAGACGCGCTTGCAGGGATGGGGTTGAAGAGCTTCGATTTTCGCGTTTTATCATGACCTTCTTTAACTTCCTCTTCCTTCACCTCTGACACATATCTAATCCATTTTAAGCGATAGTCACTTCAGTTTCTAATCTTCCAATTCAGGATGTCAAAGTCTTCGAATGTTATAGCTAGTACTTCTTCAAGGTCAAAAAACTGATGAGATCTCATTTTGCTAGATTCAAAACGTCTTTCACATCATGCGATCAACTACTATCAATAATATTTTAGGTTAATATCAAATGTATTGCATTATACTGATTACATTATACCCATTTCCAATTTTTCGTCAGTCCCCAAAACATCTTCCGTCAGACGGAGCGTTCCATCAAATACAGAGTGGGTGTGAGTTCACGGGTATTCGCAAAAGTCCGGCCCAGTTTCGACCATTAACACCATCCAAAAAAAAAAACTATTTCCCTCGATTTAAGCTTTCAGGTAAGCTTTCAACTCATCGTTCGCTTCACCATCAACACCGTCCTCCCATTGAACGGTCACAGCTTTGGTGACTGTCATGTAATGGTTCTCTGACCTCTTGCGTACTTGGAGAGGACGTGGCTCCAACGGCGATTCACCTCCCAGCGCACTGATGGGGTACACAGTACTGGGTTTCTTCCTAATGCCAAGCGTACTCATAGGTCTATTCAACTTATCGCTGGTAGGTTTCCTAGTGGTGAAAGATCCAGTTGAGTCTCTCCTACTGTAATCCGAGGCAATACTTGTTGTAGGACTTGCAGGCTCCTTTATCTCATCAGAGCTCTCAGACCATCTCGATGATATATCTTCCGCAACTGAAGACGCAGAGTCGAGAGAATTCTTGCTAGGTTCTTCAGTAGGAGCATTCGTGATGTTTGTGCCGTTTCCATATCCCTGGACTAAAACGTCTTGGTATGAAGCATGATTTGGACGAGGGTGGTGAAGTTCGGGCATATTGCCCAATAAACTCAACGCCTTTTTTACATGTCCTTTCCTAGACGAGATATTGAGAATGCTCGCGTTCTTTACGCCAGACAATTGTGGCTCTTGTGTGGTAGCGGCGTAGCCAGTGTCTGGTTTGATGCCGTTCACCAACTTGCTTTCCTCTGCTCTATTTCGGGCGACGAAGTCCTCCTCAGTCTGTTCTGCCTGCGTTTGAAGGAAGGATTCAACCGGCCGCTTTTCCTTCCACGGTGGACAACCAGCAGTCAATATGCAGAGGTTGTAGGACACCTCATGGGAGTCATGAACCTGCTCAGGCACTTTGGTTGCCGAGAGTAGGGTCTGTAGAATCGTGTAGATCAGGATCCAGCGGACCTTGCGGGCATCTGTCTGAGGCAGCTTATCATCCTTATCCATCTTAGAAGGCGAGAAGATGCAGTCCTTCTCGAAATCACAATATTCTCGTACTAAACTGCAGTCGTATAACGCAAGGTTTTTGTGGTCGGTGGCTTTGCATAGCTCAGCGAATGCGACCAGACGTCCATCCGGTTTCATTTTGTCTGCCTTCAAATTCCAGGTAAAGCGCTTGTTGATTGCGGGCTTTGATTCCCGGGTCTCTGGCAGAAGAGGTACTGGGTGTAGCAGTGGCTTGTATTTATTTCTTTGGTCGAAAGATTTCACGCTCTTCGAAACGCAAAGGCCTCCTTGCTGTGAGAGAGGCATTGGATCTGAAGAAGTAATCGAAGTATTGGCGAGGAAGTTGTAGAGTGATTGGAATTCGCTACACATTTCACTATATATGCTTTTCGAGAACGAAGAGTTTATGGTATCGCAAGAAGGTGGATAGTAGCCCAATTTAGCCACAAGGTAAGATTGCAAGAATGATCGGAATTTGTCGAGGTGAGCTCGCTCTCCAGTTGAAAGTCCAAGATGAGCATTGGACAAGTCGTCTTCAAGGAAGTTTCCAAGAGTTATACCACAGCGATCTAATCGTATGTCCATTTCGAGTCTCGATCGAGTAATAAGTGCACGGGAAGTCCTGCTTATGAGCTTGAGCAAAGTTAGCGTGCTGTCAGAGTGGAAACATAACTTCAAATGTCTCCTAACGCCCGATATAAAAACAAGGCTACACAGTAAAGCTGCACGTACCTCGAAGCCGGGTCTACTGAACAGTTTCTCGTTCATACCGACGCAATGTGCGAAGGCATCGATCCACAGATCCTTGAATTGAAAATGTTCTGCAAAGAAGAGGATTGCAAGAGCATGATCGGGCTGATTCCTCATATTTGCATATCTTTCCTCATCCATATAGTCAATAATCGCCTGCAGATTATCCTGGCCTTCGGACCTAAACTCGTTCAAGCTATTTAGGAGACCGACGAGAGCACCGCCTAGATGTGTTCCCACCAAAGGCCTTCCGAAGACCCAAGCGAATAAATTCCGTGTTGCAAGGTGGTATAAGAATGCCTGTCCCGTTTCGGCGGTTGAGGGGACTGGGATATACAGCTCAGTTGTTGCGCAGCTGAAGTCTCCATCTCTATTGTTTGAGTACCGGTGTATCAACGGCTGACAAGCGGTTTTCATGAGAGCTTCAATTGGTAATTTGAAAGCTGGACCTCTTTGAGATTGGCCTCGTCCATAAAGATGAACACAACAATTGCCTTGTGGATAATATAGCTCGGGATCCTAAAAGTTCATCAACGCTGTAAATGTGCGAATTGATTTGGATGATTCTGAAGACTTACTTTCCGGAGCCCATCCCAGTCTGAGAAGGTCCCAGCGGCTCCATTCCATCTCTTGATCTTTGTTGTGTTTCGAGATGGTAATTCTGGGATTCTCGATGAGCGTTTCCAGCCTAGTGGCCGCTCTGTGACTTCTTTGTACAAGGGAAATTGCGACAGAGCATATTCTGATTTCTCCATGCTGTACAATTGGGACATTCTGAGAGACGAAGGTTGTGACAGCGGTTGAGGACGCGACAATATTAGAGCCATATTCATACTGATATCCATTGTAGACTAATGACTTGCGACTGTTCACACCTGGCGCTTTCAGATCGGCACCCACTAAATGTCAATAGTATCGTAGCAGCCGCCACCGACGTCGACCTAGCCGTGCATTGGAATTTGGCGGAGGATATCATTAATCACCGTGCTAGTCCTCCGTAATACAGGAAAGGGCGGAGAAGTACACGGAAAGGGCTAAAAACGCCCGATTCGGGGCTGAGAGCTGAGCTACACCTATTATAACGCCTCGATGACTTCTAAACGCGGGTTCAAGAACAGCCGAGAGGATGACAGACCCTGATTGTTGTACAAGTAGGTACCTAGGTACGCTGTGAAGAATAATCAAGTGTCCAAAAATCAAACTACACATAAAAATCGCATCTCGAACATGAAGCCTTCTCCCTGGAGGATGCGATGCGATGGGCTGTAAGGGAAGGGGGACTTAAGATGCTTGCTAAAGCATCCCCTTGTTCGTACATCACCACGTCACCGGCAAGCCACTTTTCCATGTTAAACGGATATTCATCTTCAAGGCCGAGAAGGCTATTTCAACAGTCGAATGTCTTTTAAGAATTTAAAGTTGATTATTGGAGAGCATGTGATCATGAGTATCTGATTCCTGATGCGAAGGGAATTGGTGACGGATGTTCGAAGAGCCGCGGGGAAGAGAGGGGTTGGGATCGGCACGAGGTCTTAGTATCGGCTACTGCCGGTCGCTATCGCTGGTGATGCCAGTATCAGTCTTATCGAATTCAGCCACTACTGTCCGTCTTGTGTTTTCAGACATGTAAAGTATTATATTCTTCATCAAGTCGAACAGTTCAATCATTTTGGCACGTGCCTCCAAGTGAATACCCGAGTAGCCGTGCTTGTAATCATATGGCTCGATATTTGAGGTACTGGTAACTCTCGGCTTCCGTCTTTATGCAGTTGCAACCTACTCATTGGATCTGGTTCAAGTAGATGCCTTCTAAATATTCCTCATCTTTAGACAGCTACTCATTTTCAAACCATGCTTTGATTGCTATTGCCAGAAGTTCGTGCCTCGCTCCATCGTATTTGGTTATCCTTCTACGAGTAATTTTGCCTGTCCTTTTCTCGCCGACGCACCTTTGTCTCTGGCTTTTTCAAATCATCCTGCCTCCCAGCATTGCAAGCAGTAATAAAAACAGACCCGCCGTGATTCTCACACAAATATTATTTCCAAGTCCCCGAATCCTGGTGAAGCATCTTGTTTTTGTTTTTTTCAACAGAGCTTTGAGCCAGGACTTCGGCAGCAATATCTGTCCAAGTGCTGAACGAGATAGGTCTTAATGGCTATGCGTGTGGAAATGAAGATTGAGCTGCAATCCTGTTCGCAGCCAGTGACGATGAAGTCCGATATGAGGGTTGGGTGTTCTCCGAGATCACCTCCGAAGAGATCCATCCGCCTTTCCACTTCTGGCATGGGTCGCAAGAAGTCAGCAATTAATGGTAGTTCAGATTATATCGAAAGCAGCCGAAAGACCATGATAAGGAAAGTTTACGGAGTAGCAGAAGATGATACACCTGGAGGCACGAATTTGATACAAGTGGAATTCGTGATGAGGTGAAAATAACCCAGGTAAGAAGAGAAGAATGCGCAATAGGGCTAAGCGCCTCTTTTCACGCACAATTTATTTCTCCCGTCTAAACTGGCGTACCAGGAACGAAGAGAATTTATTCGACAGACAATAATCATGTGGCATTCAGGATCTTTTAAAGAAGGCGGCAATTGATGGCCGCCGTATAGGATCATGGGGAATCGCAAGCCTCATATTCAGGTTCTCCTGACACGCAGGCAACGGTTTGGTATTCACATGCACTAGAATGAATTCTTGGGACATCTGTTCCTGCAAAGGCGACGACGTATCAGAATACGAAATATGGGGAGAAATGGGGATGGAAATGAGTGAGAATTCAGTCTCTTGGGCCCCTTTATCCTCGACAAAACCGTAGACAACCAAGCAACTTATCCGTTGCAAACCTGGGGAACAAAGTGAGTATATACAAGAAGAACTACTTGGACGTTGTTGTATGAAACCCGAGTCAATTGAAGCGGACCTTTCTGGATCAAACAACGTTAGGTCCCGAAAACGTGGATCTTTCAAGGTACCATGCAGCTAAGCATTCCCATGTAGGCTCTATACGGATACTTAACAGTCGTCTAGGACCTAGTAGTTAGAACCAAAAGGCTCAACACAAGGACAGCTCTAAATACTTCTGGAATAGCTTCAAAAAGCATTTTAATATGCTGTGGTTATTAATAAGAGTTCGTGAAATGACAGACGCGTATAAATCTCATAAGTCTGAACGAACAATATGACTCTGGCATGTACTTGGATAGAATAAATAAAATAAGCATCGGGTACCTTATTAAGCTGTCAACCCCACCAACCCCGAATTTCTGCACCTCAATCTTTGTGGATGAGGTAAGCTACGCTAATCTAAATTTGGATCGACCCACCTAGATCGCGACGGACGACATGCGAAGTGTTGGGTCGTGACTACTTCACCTTGTAGCCACCACAACCCTCCCTCATTTTGGGGATTCACTTCTTCGAAACGTGTATTCTTTGTCTGACTGTTTATTAGAACGCGCCACGTCATCCCAGACCTCCCCATTTTCAATATTTTCAATGCGATCACCCCCTGACAATACCTGCCACCTTCCACCTTGAATGGGAACGCGCCGAGGCTGGCAGCATACGCAGGACAGCGCAATTATTTCGAATCGCCAATATTGCCAAACACTATGACCCCGGCACCAGCGACACCTCGCAGACCCGCATCGAGCAGAGTGCGCCCGAGTCGCCCCCGAGCATCGACTACCGCCCCTCGATCTGAAAAACCCGCTCGCGTCGCCTCAGAACCTCCCAAGAAAAAATTAAGATACATTCCTGGTGGTCCAGGTGGCGGAGGCAGATATGTCGATGACCAGGGCATAGAAATACCAGTAGGAGGAACCGGCCCAGGAGGATATAATTACGTCGGTCCGCGCGGACGCATAGGACGTGAGAACGCAGCGATGGGTCTGGTACCCCAAGTCTTTCCAAGAAGAGATCGAAGTACACGAACGAGAACAGTCCTGCCGCGATCGCAACAGCCGCCGATGAGGTTCAGCTCTGCAGCTCAGGCTGCTGCAGTCGTACAAAGTGACGGATACAAGCCACGAGAAGAACGAGCGTGGGAAGAATTTCATCCGAATTTAGATATCGAGGGTGCGCTGCGCGCCTTTACAATAAACGAGGTTCAAGGAATACTGGAGTCGCGACCTGTTACGCCTGGACCACCCTCAGCAGAAGGGTCAATAACGAGCGCGAACGCGGCAGAGACCCCGAATGGTGTTGAGGGATTCAAAGCCAAGAGTGAAGGAATACCAACGCCAGCAGCATCTTTAAATGGCGAATCTGCCTTGAAAATAGCTATACCTGGGACACCTGGTGGTGGTAAAAGACGACCTGGACGGCCTCCAAAGGATCCCGTCGCATTCTACTCTGCGAAGGCTGCAAAACTCGGTGGGACCTTTCTACCTCCAAAAACGCCAAAGATCGTCGCGCCAGTGCAGAACATTAACGCCAAGGAGAAATTAACATTGCCGCAGCCCTCATACCGCAAGACTGACACCCTTGCAAGATTTGAGGACAAGGCTTTAGGACTGGTACGTTATGTCGACAAATCGATGGCAAATGTTGGGTACCAAGAGACCGATGTTTTTATTCGCCCGGAGCACAAACTTATCAAGGTATCCGATACGAGCATGGAAGAAGATCTGGACCTCGGACCCGGCCACAAAAGCGAAGGCGACGGAATAATAGCTCTAGGTAGTGGTGGTGTCGGCCGTGTAGAGTACGATATGGATGAGCAAGATGATAAATGGCTGGAAGAGTATAACGCGGAAAGGAAGGCTATCAACTTTGAGCCGATTACGCGAGAGATACTTGAGATTACGATTACTAAGGTTGAAAAGGAGTGGCACGCCTTGGAAAAACGGATACCCAAGCCGAATCCAAAGCCACCACAGACACATCGACCTAGATCAAGCTCGGCTGCTGCCGTCAACGGTGAACCGCAGCCTGGGGAAGAACAGGACAGCAAGTGCGCCATTTGCGACGATGGAGATTGTGAAAATACCAATGCCATCGTCTTCTGCGATGGCTGTGATTTAGCTGTACACCAGGAGTGCTATGGTGTTCCATTTATTCCCGAGGGTCAGTGGCTTTGTCGAAAATGCCAGTTGATTGGTCGCGGTATCCCAGTAAGCTTACTTTGCCCTTTGAATACCACAATCACTAACACTATCCTAGACATGTATCTTCTGTCCTAATACCGATGGAGCTTTCAAGCAGACAAATGCCTCGAAATGGTCCCATCTTATCTGTGCTATGTGGATTCCCGAGGTTTCTCTCGGTAACCATACCTTCATGGAACCAGTGATGGATGTTGAGAAAGTCCCCAAGACTCGATGGAGGCTCACCTGCTACTTGTGTAATCAACGCATGGGTGCTTGTATCCAGTGCGGTAACAAGAATTGCTACCAGGCATTTCATGTCACCTGTGCTAGAAGAGCGCATTTGTTCCTGAAGATGAAGAATAATCATGGCACTCTCGCCGTACTGGATGGTGGTACGGTCTTGAAGGCTTTCTGTGATAAGCACTGCCCCTCAGACTATACTAAAGAAAACGATGTTGCACGAGCAACTCGAGAAGCGCGGGCCTTCTACAAGAAATCTATGCGAGGGCGCCTTTGGGCAGATAGTCAAGCTTCGGCTTTGACAATGGCTGCCAATCACCGACACGCAGTTACTGAGCATCAACCAGACGAATCGCAACTTACTGGTGCAAAGGTTGCCATGAGTCTTAGTGAGGGCAAGAAGAAGGGCAATCAGCCTGCAAAGCCTATTTGGAAGCTTCCTTCTGGTGCGCCAGTCATCCCTCAGGTGGTGTTCAATTCTGTGGAAAGCTCTCTCCAACGATTCAACATTCGCAGACGCAAAGAATATGCAGCCGATGCGTGTAGATATTGGACGCTCAAGCGCGAGGCACGAAGAGGTGCTGCGCTTCTGAAGCGATTGCAATTACAGATGGAAACCTTCTCATCGATGGAGATCACCCGCAGAAACTTCGCTGGCATGGGCCATGCAGGCAGACCGAGACTCAGCCGGAGAATTGAGTTTGCTCAGAGCTTGATCCAAGACATGGAGCGATTGAAAGCTCTTGCTGAAGATGTAATGAAGCGGGAAAAAGAAAAGCTCAGATCTGTCGAGCTCGAGGAAGAAGTCGTCGATACTGTTTATTTCCCAGTGGCAAAGATGTTTCCACCGATGATTGATAAAGCTATTGTGTAAGTCTTGAACTCTAAATCCCCACTCAAAATTTGACCTTTCTATCTACCGTATCTCTCTCACAATAGCTAATCGTACTAGGCTTGATATCAAGATGGTCTTTACGGGTGGTCTCTTGAACCTCAAGAAGAAAGTCAATGACCGATTCTATACCACAGCCATGGGTTTTACCCACGATATCTGCAACGTATTCCACGCCGGGGTCGTGACTCAACCATCGCCAGATGCGGGGATCGTACTTTCGAGCGAAATCAAGAAACCTGTAGTAACGGATATTAAGGAAAGAAAAAAGCTTGGCAAAAGGATTGTCAAGGCTATTCAACCTCAACTCCAAATGGCAGTACGAGCAGAAGCGGATATTAATGGAAAGTCTGCCGATGACCTCCTGAGGGAACTCGACCAGCTACTCGATGCTAGCGTGCAGCTCACCGGAGACACGATCTCGGTTTCAGTTGGTGATTCACACTCTCTTGCTGATACCGACAGGCATGAACGAGATGTTGATATGCCGGATGGTATTGAGCATTCAACCCATGAAAACGAATCAGCAAGTGGCTCTCAGAAACCGTCGACGAATAATGGATCGGAAGATGTGGAAATGCAAGATGCCGATGCGCCTGGTGAAGAAGTTGATGAAGGCATTGGCTTAACAGAAGAGACAGACAAGGCTCTGATTGAAGTTGATGGGAACGTTTCACAGACCAAAGTAGAGCACGTCAATGGTGTTAAAAACAACAACAAACTTGACAATAACGGCACTACGAAACCTCACCAACCTCCCACGCCTCCACTCTCGAATGGCGATGCCAGCATTGATCCCACCGATCCACTAATCAACGGCGGGATACCTTGGTATCTCAAAGACTTTCATCCGGAAGGAACGAGCATCGTACAAGAACTAAGTTCAGGAAAGGACGCAGTATCTCAGTTGAGCGAGGATCTTAGCGACATGGATGACGAAGCACTCAAAGGCCTCGGAATCGATGTTGACGAAGGTGGTCATGGCATCGTGGCCACTGTAGCAGGCATTCCGAAGCCGAAGGCCAAGGCCAAAGCGAAGAAGAAGAGGTCCAGGAGATAGGAACACCTGGATGCATTTGTAAATGGTATTGTATGATAGATTCTTCGCTTTGCTTTGCTTGATGCTCGGACGGAGTTATAAGGGATGGCGTTTTAGCGTGCTACGAGCAGAATTACTAGCAAGGGAGGAGGCATTTGGGCGTTTGCTTTGGTCAGGACTCTTCTGTAATAGGTACATCCTTCAGACTGTTCGAGTAAGTCGGTCGGCACGGAGTCAGCATCATCATTTGGCTTTATTCAAACATATTTTCTGCGCTGAGCTATAATATCTTTCGCGAGACCTTCCAACCTCGCTGACGCCGGCACACTTTCCCTAGTCCCCACCCGCTTGTCCCATTGGTGGAATAACTACGGGCCTTTCGGATTAATTGCCAGTCGCAACACTTCCGCTACGCCCAATTCCAAGTCCTCTATCGCGGGATAATAAGGAGATCTAAGTCCACTCAATACCCCGCGGTGAATCGAGAGTGGGGTCTAAATCCCGCGATCTAGTTTTCCCTGAATTATTTATCCTTTTTTGCTTTCCTTTCCTTTCCTTTCCTTTCCTTTCCTTCCCTTCCTTCCCATTCCCTTCCCTTGTTCACCGAACAAATACTTCACTCTCTACCTTATCACCACCTCTTCCTGTCCTGTCCTTTCCTTTCCTAATCCCATTCGATTTGATTGGTTCCCTACGAGCAAGATAGCTATATCTACTTCTCAGATCAATCCGCCAGACAAACAAGGAAGAAAGATGGTTTACCCAGAATCTTGGAAAGGGTTCCAGATCGAGGACCCTGCTAAGTGGACGGAATTCCACCTGAATGAGCTTACGCCGAAGCCGTTTGGGGATTTCGATGTCGATATTAAGATCCTGGCTTGTGGGGTTTGCGCTTCGGATTTACATACTGTTTCTGGAGGATGGGGAGAACAGCATTTCCCGTTGTGTGTTGGGCATGGTGAGTTTTGGGAGTTTTACTTTTTGTTGAGTGGGATGGGGGGAGGTGAGGAGGGCTGAATTGATGTTGGGGAATTGGCTTTTTTGACAGCATACAGAGTGTTCTGTTTGTGCGTCGGAGTCATGGCGTTTTTGTTCTTCTTCATGCTTGGTTGATGGTGAGGAGACATGCTTACAGTAGTTATAGAAATCGTAGGCACGGCAGTGAAAGTCGGACCCAAGGTCACGCTCATCAAGGAGGGATCTAGAGTTGGAGTGGGCGCGCAATCTTACTCTTGCTTGCAATGTCGACAATGCAAGGCGGATAACGAGACGTACTGTCGGCACCAACTTGATACTTATGGAGCCGTTTGGCCAGACACCGGAATCGTGTCTCAAGGAGGGTACTCCGAGTATGTGCGGACTCACGAACACTGGTATGTCTTTCTCCCCTGGTTTGGTTTGCAGGAGGCTAATAAGAATCGATGTCTGAAGGGTTTTCCCTATCCCCGACGGCCTCGCAACCAACAAAGCAGCACCGATGCTCTGCGCAGGCCTTACAGCCTATTCACCCCTCGTCCGCAACGGCGCCGGGCCCGGCAAAAAAGTAGGAATCGTAGGACTCGGTGGAATCGGGCACTTCGGGCTCCTGTTCGCCAAAGCACTGGGAGCAGAAACCTGGGTCATCTCGCGCACGCACTCCAAGGAAGCAGATGCGATGAAGATGGGCGCTGATGGCTTCATCGCTACCGCGGATAAAGACTGGAATGAACCGCATATCTTTACCTTTGACCTGATTATCAATACGGCGTCTGGGAGCGATGGGTTTGATCTGGCCAAGTATTTGACTCTGCTGGATGTGCATGCCAAGTGGATTAGCGTGGGCTTGCCTGAAGGTGAGGGACAGGAGATTAAGGCGGAGACATTTATCAGTAACGGATGTTTGTTTGGGGCCAGCCACTTGGGATCGAGGAAGGAGACACTTGCTATGCTGCAGTTGGCAGCTGATAAGGGGGTTGACAGCTGGGTGGAGGAAATCGATATTGGGTTTGATGGGTTGAAGACGGCGTTGACGAGGTTGCATAACAATGATGTGAAGTATCGATTCACGCTCACGGGGTATGATAAGCTTTTCGGTGCTTAGAGGGGTCGGCCGTAGTGCGGGGTTGGTGCGGTTGTTTATTGTTGGTAGGTGCATCGGAATTGGAGGGGCATTTGCAGGAACGACAATGAGGCGTATACGCGGCCCGATGGCGGGAAGCGAAATAGGGGCCGGAGGATTGAAAGATGTCTGGGGAATCCATCCGTATGGTGCATTGCAATCTAAACTAGCAGATAGTTTATTCACGTAGACGTTGTCTCAATTCATCCTTCTCAGGCCCACCTTCCCGTTTTAGTGATCATCAGTTTCAAGTAGTCATGAGATATTTTGAAGTGAACAAACAGTGGCTATCTAGCTCTGATCCAGATCGAGTTTGACAAGTCAAGTAATTCAGGTAGGAGATACCGTGCAACTAAGTTGGACTTTTGCAACTATGTATTCTTTTCTATTAGATCTGAGAAGAACTAGAGACAATATTTTGGCTATGTTGGGTAACATTTACCTGATAATATTACAGTAGTCCAGTTCCCGTGACGTTTCCTTTCAAATGTAACTCTTGCCCGTGAATAATGAGCCGTGAGAACAGATCCTCACGATACATACTAGAGAAGCCGCCATTGGTCAGGCTATCATAGTGTGAAATAAAATGGCCTTGAATCGAACACTAATTCTACCCCCGTCGAGCGCTCAGAGGGTTCGGGGTTCTATTTCTGAGTCATGACAGTGCCCAAATTTGTATTGGTACTTCGAAGTAGGAGCATCCAGTACAGTAAGTTGTACTGCAATATCACTAGTATTTTCAGAAGTATCCTCTACATATGACATGGGCCCCGCGGAAGCTTCGTACTTGCTCCAGTCAACTTTGACAACTTTTGTAAAGGATTCTTCGAGGTTTGAATTGGCCGAGATGAAGGACAATGGGGAGTAACTTATTAGTCCTAGACAGTCAGTAAAGGTTTGACAACAGGAGCTAGGAGATACATAATACTGCTGATATACGTCTAATTCGTTTTGACAATGAATCCTGCCGGATGGGAGGGATTCGACCGGCGATCTGGGGTGATGATGTTCTAATCGATTCATTTTACTTTCGCGTCAATGCAGAGCAAGCGCCTCTTTAGGAAAGAGCTTTAGATTCATGATGCCGAGTAGAGAAGTGAAAGGCATCATTTGGGATTTAAAAAAGCTTGGTGAAAATAGTCTTCCACTATCCCAAGTCACCCGCTACCAGATCGAACTGTCTAAAGAAGTACAGAGTAACAGAAGGATCTAGATCGAGATACAGTACAGACTCCGGACTTTTCCTTTGTGATCCTTGCGGACTACAGGTAGGGGTCATCAGATATTCCCCGCATTTGAAGAAAGCCACCTGCGATCACTAGCTACAAAGGTACAACACGAAAAAACTATACACTGGCATGTGGCCGATAGTATTAGTCACAGATATTCATTTTGTGAGATCTGCGCCGAGAGCTGGCTTTTTTAATTGAAGTATTGTGCTCAGAGCTCATCTGTTCAGGTGACTCGGGTGACTGACTGCTCAAAGAGACAACAACAAACTTTTTGACTTGTAAGGATTCAGAGCCCATGACTGGGGCACAAATCCATGGGAAAATAAACCGGGTGATTCCCTTCAGGCTTTAGGGAAAATGGAACGTTCTCCATGAACCATCCGATCTGCGAAACGTGACACGTTTCAGTGCCTTGGTGTTGGGTATTTTGGTTTCGAAACAGAAGAACCTTTCTGGCCAACCCAACGAACGAACGCGTACTGCAAGGTCGCTAGCGAAACGAAATCGAGTGACTGGCTCCGAAGCACCTGCTGGAATATACTGTATCGATTGCTCGACGCTGGTGGTTAAACAGTCTCAATGAAGGGTCGCACAGGGAGGAGACTGACTGGCTCTAGCGGTACGAGTAGCAAAAACTGTGTAGGATGTGTAAAAGGACCGAGGAGTAGTGAGAGGCACAAAGAGAAGGGTGTTGCACTGTGGGGATTGCGCTGTGCGCCATCCGCTGTGCACTGTGCATCTGATGAACTTCATGATCCTCCTGATCTGATGGCTACCTTGCTGTAGGTCGGTATTACCTGCAGGCATCTCCAGATGTCGGGTCGGTACCTTACTCTGAGTTCAGGTGGGGAAGACCCAGCTCAGGGGGACAATCTTGGCTTGGCATCTGCTGAGTGGCTGCTTTATCACGCCTAAGTACCTAAGTACCTACCTACTGTAAGTAGTAAGGCGATCTCAGGAGATCCGCCTGCTGTAGTGCACCACTGGGGCGCGTGCAACATGCGTGTAAATCTCCGAACCACGCCAGGCCTGTCCAACCATCGCTTGTCCTTGTCCTGCAGCATCTCGACCTCAAACCATCTGGCTCTGTGTTTCATACCCACAGCTGCCAGACTTTATCCACAGGTATCTAACTAACCTTTTGAGCCCCCGTCTTAGCCAGCCACTCACTGTTCAGAACCCCGTTTCGTTTGTCCAAACAAAGCGGAAGCATTGATCTTCCCCCTGAGTAATAGAGCCTCGATCCCATACCTCGCGCGGATCTACACTCGTTATTCCAGTCTCAGCGTTTCCATTCGGGCCATATGTGCTGAAGGAACGCATGACACTGGTCAGTCCCTTCCTCGCTAGCGGCTTAGAGCCACATTGAGTGATACCTTACCTTAGGTACGGTCCTGGTACAGTAGTACTCCTAGAGAGTTAGTCGTTGTGATGCTTTGCGTTGGACAAGACCCCTCAGCCACCAAAGCTCCGCATCATGAACCATTACGCCAATATGATATGCCGGGGCCATCATATGGCTTTCGGCACCAGGCCATTTCACCTGGCACGAAAAGTCCAGGCCGAGGGTCGTGGGTAGAACCCCAAAGCGTGCTCTTGGATATATATAGTGATTCCCTCCCCCAAAAGGGAACTGCAGACTTTTGCAGTCATTCCACTCATTCCACTTCTTGTTGTCAGAGACACTTGCAAACCCCTTTACTTGTGAGTAATAACCCCGCTTTTTCGTTCTGTTATTGTTTGTTGTTTTGTGTTTTGCATATCACTCGCTCCTGCCTCCGAAAAACTTCACACGGCCATTCACCACAATGGCTGGCCCAAAGATTCACAATACCAACACCTTGCTATTGTAATGAAAGTTCTACAAAAACAACCTTCAGCATTAGGATTTTGATTTTCCCTCTTTCCAAACATATCTTCGAACTACTCGGAGAACCTTTACTACCTTACTCTGGCACCAAGCGGATTCTCAATATTCTAGAGATCAAGATAGCCCCTTTGTTTCCCTTCACATCACGTCTGAGTCAACACACCAAACTGACCTCGAACCCAAATAGTCTTCACCTTCCTTAAAATCATCTTACAGCAGCTGGTACTACTTAACGATGGCAACATTTTCACTATTCGCCCTTTTGGTGGCATTACAAGCCTTTCTTCTACTTGTTTCTGGTGCCCCGGCATCATCTACCTCAAATACAACAGTCTCGCCTGGTACGGCTGCCTCCAGTTGGTGGTTTGCTTCAATCTCTCGCCAAGGAACGGTCCCTTTTGGCACCGCTGGATACAAAGTCTTCCGCAATGTAAAGGACTACGGTGCCAAAGGTGATGGATCATCTGATGATACTGTGGCCATTAACAGCGCAATCACCGATGGGTCTCGCTGTGGTCAAGGTTGTGACTCTTCAACTACTACCCCTGCGATCATCTATTTCCCCCCGGGAACGTACGCGATTTCTGCCCCCATTGTCCAATTGTACTATACGCAATTTGTTGGCGATGCTGTCACTGTCCCTACACTAAAGGCCACAGCAGGCTTCAAGGGCATTGCCTTGATCGATTCAGATCCTTATGCCAACGGTGGAGCCAACTGGTACACAAATCAGAACAACTTCTTCCGCCAAGTCAGGAATTTCATTATTGACATTACTGCAATGCCTGTAGGATCTGGAGCTGGTATCCATTGGCAAGTTGCACAAGCTACTTCTTTGCAAAACATCGTTTTCAACATGAGGACCGATGGTGGTACGGCAAATGCTCAGGTGTGTTACCTCAAGCTTCTGGTTTGAGAATATGAGCTAACTCTCAATAGCAAGGAATCTTCATGGATAACGGCAGCGGCGGTTTCATGACAGACCTGACCTTTAATGGCGGAAAGTATGGTGCATTCTTTGGAAATCAGCAATTTACGACCCGCAACTTGACATTTAATGGCTGCCAAACGGCTGTTTTCATGAACTGGAATTGGGTAAGTCATCTCTCGTTGACCCTGTATTGAGTTGCATGCACCATTGGACATATTTTACCTCGCTGGTTGATATGGGAATATAGGAGCTCAAGTGTTCATTCACGCTGTGTGGGCGATTCATAGTGGATTTCCAAGTGGTCATCCTGATGACTCCTTATTTCCCACCAACATGTCATCTCATTCACGATGGCAATCAAGTATTGGCCAGGAATCTCTGCTAACGAGTCTTTAGGCGTGGACTTTATCTGGACTCAAGATCAATAACTGTCAAATTGGGGTTGATATGGCTAACGGAGGCACGTCAGCACAAACTGTCGGCTCTGTTCTGCTTATCGACAGCACAATTTCCAACACACCCATTGGCGTTTCCACTGCCTATTCTACCAACGAAGGCGTTACCAATGGCACTCTAATCATCGACAATGTCGACTTCTCTTCAAACGTCCCCGTGGCAGTTTCCAATGCCGCAAACAAGGCTACCGTTTTGGCTGGAAACGCAAAGATTGCATCTTGGGCTCAAGGAAGCCAGTACACCTCTGGAAGTGCGGGTGCTGGCTCAAGCAAGCAAGGCCTCTTGACTGCTGCTACGAAACCCACTTCTCTCCTGAACTCCGCTGGACATGTGTTTACCCGCTCCAAGCCCCAGTATGAAAGTGTCGCGTCGTCTTCATTCAAGAGTGCAAAGGCTGCCGGAGCAAAAGGAGATGGAGTTACGGATGACACAAAAGCCATTCAAGCCTTGTTCAACTCAGCTGGCTCAGGTGACGTTGTTTATTTCGACCATGGCGCATACGTTATTACCGACACCGTCACCGTCCCTAAGAACATTCGGGTTACTGGTGAAATATGGCCTCTGATCATGGCTGGAGGAACTGCCTTCAATAACCAGGCTAGCCCGAAGCCCTTATTCCAAGTCGGACAAATCGGAGATGTGGGCGCTGTTGAGATTTCGGACTTGATATTTGAAACTCTTGGCCCTCAACCTGGCGCAATCATGGTGGAATGGAACGTTGCCGAATCCAGCCAAGGAGCTGCTGGCATGTGGGATGTTCACTTCCGCATTGGAGGTACTGCGGGTACTCAGCTTCAGTCAGACAAATGCTCAGAGAATCACAACCATACTGCACCAGCCAACACTGCTTGTGAGGGCGCATTCCTCTTGTTGCATGTTACCCAAAAGGCAACGATCTACTTGGAGAATAACTGGTTTTGGGTGGCTGACCATGAACTTGACCTCGGTACGTATAATTTCCCGCAATATATGATGATTGATGCTAATGATATTAAAGGCGATCACAACCAAATCAACATCTTCAACGGCCGCGGCGTTCTTATCGAGAGTGATGTTGGCCCAGTATGGCTATATGGTACTAGTTCTGAGCATAGCGTTCTATATAACTATCAGATCTCCAACGCCTCCAGCGTTTACATGTCCCTGATCCAAAGCGAGACACCTTACTTCCAGAGCAACCCCGATGCTACCACTCCATTCACAACCAACAGCAAATATCAGGACCCAACATTCTCCGGGAATTCCAGCAGTAAGAAAGCATGGGGTCTTCGTATTGTCGACTCAAAGGATGTCTTTGTTTACGGCGCTGGTCTGTACTCGTTCTTCGTAAGTTTTCTCCATTCCATGCTCGTTTATTTTCAAGTATGGATGCTAACAGTATTGCAGGATAACTATGTACAAACTTGTCTTGCTACTGAAAGCTGCCAAGACAACATGGTGTCCATCGAGAGCTCGACTTCCATCCACATGTACGGCCTGTCAACCAAGGCTGCGACCAACCAGGTTACTGTCAATGGCAAGAGTGCTGCGCTCGACAGCGCTAACCGTAACAATTTCTGTGCAACCATCTCTGTTTTCACAGAGGCAACGTAGGACGCCGGCAAAATACTAAGCTGGGACGGAGTGCGAGGGCGCGAGGCGCAAATCATGCAGCTTGCTGCAATCTACTTCTTGAACATGCTGGATTCTTTTACACTACCCAACTTTCATGTACATACATTTTTCTTTTCCTCACATTTGCATAACAAGGAGTCCAGGCGATTGGTGTAGACAGCATGCCAATCAGGATATTTCTGTAGGAAACCACAACCATATAGCATAGCCAGTATACAAACTACTATTGACATCACACCACAATATTGCATGTACTCTATTTTCTCTGGGATGAAGAAACTTACAAAAGATCAATCTTGGTGATTTGAAATACGGCAAGTGACTCAGACTGTACCCGTAAAGTTCCGTTTATAACTGATAGGCCTAGTCCCACAAATTCCATCCGGAGACATAAAGACTGATGAACTTTGTATATATATCCACAGACCGCCCTAGTATTAGGCTAGCGCGGTCCTATAAAGTCTTCGACTCGTACAGGACGTTGATGGAATGAATGAATAAGACTGCAAAAACTCATGATTTGGAGTTAGTGAGATTATATATGTTGCGGTCCATTCATGAATATATTGATCAGATTCACGGATGAACCGGAAAATATAAGAGCATAGACTGTAAGAGCATAGACTGGATTTTGGGATTATGCTTCTATAGTAGACTATACTTTCAGTTTATAGTACAGGTCAGGATATACCTAGTTATTAGTAGAGATAATCTACGGATATGGCTAAGATTACGGCCAGATTATATCAGACCTAGAACTTTCTGAATGACTAAGACTACACAACTTTATAGCTCCGGTCTGAGTCATTTGCCGCTGAAAATATGATATGGTCTCAGATAGATCACCCTTTTTATGATCTAGTCACGTGGTTATGATGTACTACTAGGCGCGTCAGTTCGTTGCCCCGATCGACGTTACGGCGAAGAACATCTCGATTATTTCTGGCCGCCTTGCACCACCAATTCTCAAAGAACTTACTATTCAATTTCAACACCTCGTCGCAGCGCGTTCTGAGCAGCCGCAAGTAAGGATCTCAAAAGGACCTTTTGTTTTATCAACCTTAAACTACCCGGCACGTTTACTTATCGTTTGTCTGCAAGATGGGAGAATCAAGGTCAGTCAACACCAGGCCAGGCGCCTCCAGGATTTCTCGCAACTAACAACATACAATCTAGACAAGAGCTCGTATCATGGCTCAACAATCTTCTCCAACTTAACATCACCAAAGTTGAGCAATGTGGAACTGGGTGAGTTCGACCCCTTCCCCGCACTCCACCCTTTTGGAAGATTCTAGTGAGGCCTTGCTGACAACTCTTTACACAGTGCTGCCCTCTGCCAGGTCTTCGATAGCATTTACCTTGATATACCAATGTCGAGAGTCAAGTTCAATGTCAACACCGAATATGCATACCTTCAAAATTTCAAGGTTCTGCAAGGTGAGATGCGAAAGAACGAACGTCAAGGCGCAATACTAATGCTAGCCTTTCCTAGGTTGCTTCTCTCGACATGGCATCGACCGACCAGTCAACGTTGAACAACTCATCAAATGCAAGATGCAAGACAACTTGGAGTTCCTCCAATGGAGCAAGAGGTATTGGGATCAGTACTTTCCTGGCGGCGATTACGATGCTCTTGCTCGACGACGCGGTTCCGGTGCCCCCCTCCTTCCTCTACTGTTGCATCACGAACGACCACCGGCGCAGCTAAGAGAGGTACTACGCCTACTACAGGCCCACGAGTCGCGAAGGGCATGGGAGCAGGTCCAGGCTCTGCTGCCTTACAACAAGAGAACAACACCCTGAAGGAGACGGTTCAAGGGCTGGAGCGGGAGCGAGACTTCTACTTCAGCAAGCTACGTGATATCGAGTTGTTGGTTCAGCAGGCCTGCGAAGAGGACCCCGAGATCGAGAGACAAGAGGATGGTTTAATCAAGCACATTCAAACAATTCTGTACTCGACAGAAGATGGGTTTGAAATTCCTGCCGAGGCTGAGGGTGTTGATGACCAGGAGACATTTTGATCTTTCTGTTATTAAAAATGAAAAAAATGGCGAGTGCAGACGCTGCAGATCGATTATTTGGACTGGCTGGTTGGAGTTGCATGAACCAACCATGCGCCAGGAATTGCATGAATTATGAGCCCCAAATGAATTCATTATGGTTTGCGTTTCATCATAGATAGCAATAATGAGCTAAATCTACAATAAAGATTCAGACTCCTTTGGATGCCCTCTGCATGTGAATAATGATGATTCTGACTTGCTTTATTTATCATAAATCAAAAGAGGGTCAAAGCAACTAAACTTCGTCAACCCCACAAGCCGCCCACTCACGCCAAGGAGCCGACCCTAGTTTATCGATACATACCTTAGCCCTGTCAGCTCTAGGCGGAGCGGAGCCAAATGTAACCTCAAGCATCGACATTCGGAGCTCCCATTACGCACTCTTGTACATATTCCCTTTCCATCCCCAGATACAAAAGATACATCAAACACAAATCCTCGGCACAAGCATGGCCCCACCCCTCGAAATCTCCATCCCCTCAACCATCCTCTCGGGCAACCAAAACGAGAAACTCTATACGCTCTACAACATCACCCTCCGTCTCCCCCTCCGCACCTTCGTCGTCCAAAAACGCTACTCCGACTTCGTCACTCTTCACAACTCCCTCACCTCCCTGATATCCGCTCCCCCACCCGCGCCCCTCCCCGCAAAATCCTGGTTCAAATCCACCGCCTCCTCGCCCGAGCTCACAGAATCCCGCCGCGTAGGCCTAGAAGCCTATCTGCGCGCCATAGCAGAAGGGCCTGACCGGCGCTGGCGCGAGACGTCCGTATGGCGCTCGTTTCTCAACCTGCCGAGCTCGACCAGCTCGGGGAGTTCGGCACGCGGTGAGCTGGAGGTGGCGTATCAGAGGGGTTCTGCGGGACAGGCGGCGCAGGAGCCGCAGGTCTGGCTGGATTTGCATCGGGAGATGAAGGGGCTGCTGCAGGATGCGAGGATGTTCTTGGGACGTAGGGATGGGGCGACGACGGCGCATGCGCAGTTTGAGGCGGGGGCTAATGCGAAGAGGTGGCTTGGTTAAGGCGGGGGGGTTGCTGGGGAATCTGGAGGAGGGGTTGAAGATTATGG